TAAGGAAAAAATGTGTTTGCTGTTTCCCAACCAAACCTAGAAAAACTGCCGACCCTAGCTATAGCCTTTTTTTTTGTGTGAACCCCTGCAAGGGACATAAGTTTTTCGAGATGATTGAGCTTTTCTAGCTCCATGAAACATTGTACAATTGGTTTTCCAACATTGACATTGAAACTGTATGTACATGTACCCTCATGCAAGTTTTACTTTGTTAAACTGTATGGTATAAGTTGGATCACTAGAGATCAACCAAGTACTAAAAAAAAAAAGAAAGAAAGAAAGAAAGAAAAAAGATAATCCCTACCTACTGACCCTAATTTTTCAGGACTGAAACAGAAAACACAAAATTTTTTCCTAGGCCTTACAATTCTCCTTTGTACCACCTTGATGGATCCATCTACCACCATCAAGTGCTGCAAGACATCCATGTGTTACAGAGGGATGAGGCCATTTTGTAACACGTAGGAAACACCACGTCAGCTGCAGACATTTCTGTTCACTTGTTTTGAGGACTCCTTGAGTAAATGCCTGTTGGTGACCGGTGGTGTTTTCTATGTATTTCAAAATGGAGTCTTTCCCCTGTACCTCTTGTGTTGTGGCACAGATGTTATAAGGATAAGGGTAGAAGAAAATGAGAAATTGTTATCACTTACCAGTTGAACTTGTAGAGAGACGAGTAATATCCAATTTGTAGGGAGTCAATAGCATGGTTAGAAATGTTTGAAGCAACAATTAAGTACTGGTATTAGCCTGACTACACTACTTACATTGTACATGTAGATAGTAATGAGAAAACTGTAAAGAGACATTTAAGAGATAACATGTAATACAGCTATACTGGAGTATACTAACCTGGTGATTTTGAAGAACTGTAGAGTTTTAAACTTCTTACATGAGGAAAGATTTTCCTAATGTAACAGTGTACTACTGTATGTACAGGGCTTGAAATACTTTCTCTGCATATAATACCTGCACATTGAAAATTACCTGTACTAGACAAATTACACATATTCCTACATGTATCTATAAACCTATTATGGACCAGTGCAAGTTAGGTGAGGGTAGACATCAGAAATACCTGCACATCTCCAATTTTACCTGCAGTCTATACATGACTTTGTACATGACTTTGTAGTATTTCAAGCCCTGATATAGCATGGTAGATACTGATCATAGGTTCCTTGGGCCTCCTAGCTTAAAACCTACCCCCAGTGGAGTTTGTAATGCTGAAAGTGTAAGTATCAATGTTTGGTTATTTACCGTTGCAGCACAACCAGTTTAAATTCCATACACACTCTTGACTTGAAGATTTTTTTTCATGTCCATCAGAACTCAAACCTTGTTTAGATCGGGACTAGTTGTAAATGTTAGCTGTACAGTGTACAGTCAGACTTAAAGGAACTTCCAAAAAAATGTAGATCCTTTATTTTGGTAAATGCTAGATTTCAGACCTTCAAATGATAACACTGTTCTGCTCTTTTAGATTGGACCCAAAAAAATTGTATGAAGAAAAAAAATGCTTGGTCCCGATTACTAGTAATTAGTCCCAGTCTGAACAGAATATTTTACCACTGCATAATCAGACTCCATAATAACAGTAAACCTGGTAGTGGTAGCTCATAATTTTTGAAAGTAGGAACATAGTAGTATAGTTTTAAATCATCCTAACATAATCACTGTGGATGGTTTTTAATAGTGGAAAAATTCATCTAGTGAACAGCATGAGAATTGTGGTTTGGCTGCTGTGTCTGGACTTGAGTGTGCTATGAATTTGGCATGTGTGTTTTGAAGAGTTGGACTGTGTAGAAGGAATGGTTTTGACGTGGAGTGCTGGAGATGTACTCAGACCTGAGTGGTCACTGCACGAGAGAGTTGTGTGCACATGTCTGACAAGGCTGAAGCACTTTTCCGTGTAACTGCCAGAACATGCGCATCAGGCTCCTTCTCATTGAAATGTACAGAATACCAGTAACAGAACTACAACATCTCACTTTGGCTTTTTTATCCAAAAAGACCTACGGTTAGCTTCATCTTCTTGGAGCAAGGGAGCAAGTACGGACATTTAAAGACTGGGCAGCTTTCTTATACCACGTGAAGTTTACTGCTAATATTGAAAGTAACAAACAATGGTTATAGTCACGACTGTAAAACATTTTGTTCAGCAAGAGTGGCTACAAATGACAGTCAAAACTCCTTTCTTTTTCCCTTAGTGACCCAGAAAACTTGCAAAATGTTGTAAAAATGACAATATCTTGTCTTATAGTAGCATGCGGCTCTATCTAAATTTCATGACAGTCTTATATACATGTACAATGTACTTGAGCGGTAACGGAGGTTACAAAAATCATCAACCAAACCTAGCAAGTGTACATTTTTGTGAAACCTATTAAGTGTAGTCGGGAAGTGAAGAAAGCAATGATAAGGTCTGTGATTTAGCTCGTATCTAGTCGTAAAGAGTGGCGACAGCATTTTGTACAATTTTGAATGAGAACGGGCCATCAGTCTGTGTGCTGCTGCTTCCTTCAGTGCACCATCATCTGTATGTACATGTACCCTTCACAGTTGATCACACTCACCCTTACCTTCCATGCTGTCACAACTGTTTTCTCTCTGCACATCAATCTGCACAAAACCAGCTCACACCCTCCTCTTGATATCACCTCTTCTTCATATCTTATGATTAAGTCCAGCATCTAATCAATTTTTCTGTGACCTCGGACTGTATCAAATTCTTCATTATTTCCAAACCAGGTTATCTGTGAAGCCTAGAGAAATCTTGTTTCATGTATGATCAGAAGTGAAATATCAAAGTTAACTTTTATCAGAATATGAAGGAGTAATTAATTGTCAATCTTGATTCTCCTGCCTAATTTGTTGGTTGTGTCCCTCTAGATCTATTCTCTAAAGATTTATCATACTTATTATATCAATATATTCCAAATGCGACTTGAAAAACCTTCCATCGAAAAAAATATTATCTGTTCCTTTATCTCTACTATAACTGAAAAGCGAGAAGTTGAATTTATGTAATGATAGTTAGTTTTATTTTGTATATATCTTTTCATCACGTTCTGTTTTAACCTGTACTTAGCCCAATGTGGCAAAAATGTGCAATAAAGGTCGTCATTCATTCATTCAATAATTAATTTTTATTATTCAGTGGCTTTCAATTCCGAGAGGTTGTTTTGGGTGTAAAATCCCACCTAAAATGATTACTTGGCATGAAGTTACGACACCGGGGGAAATTCCCCCAGAGACAGTGCCATTCTGTGGGATTTATTGATTTTGCAATTTGCTGTGCCTCTTCCAGTAAAGAGAGATGGCTGTTCCAGCCGTTAGTAATGTCTTCCCCCTTCTCTCTCAGTAATTTTACGATCATTGAACTCAATGAGATCCTGAAGGAATTGTCGATGGGTAATTCAAAGGAACCACTCAAGCTACAGTAAAAGTCTTGAAAATTAACTTAACAATGCATGACGACAATCCCAGTTCCCAATTTGCTGTTTTTATTACCTGTTTGTTTTTTATAACAACTGCTGCTAATGTTATGATACCTTTCAGGGCAACTGTAACTGATCCTAAAGTTATAAAATAATTTTTGGGTATTTTATTGACTCTATTGCAAACTCGTAATTTAGCTTAATGAAAAACAGTCCGGCTTCTAATTACTCATAAAATATATGTACTAACAACTAACCATCATTAACTGTGTTGTCTACATACCTGTAAGCTTACCATATTAATCTATTCTGACTTACTAAGTTACTGAGCTGAAGCCCCCACATTTTTTAACTTCCCCGAATTTATTCCTGAACACCAGCCGAACACAAGTCGAACAGGTTGGCTGGTGTTCAGGAGCATTTTGAACAGATTTAGGCCACGCCTACTGTTTATGACTAATTGAAGCAAATTTGAGTTAAATTGGAGTCAAATTTGACCTGATTACAGGCCCCAAACATTTCTGACTTACTCCTGGATGGTTGGCTAGTGCTTTCCCTACTTAGGTCGAAAGCCAGCCAACTATGATTGAACCTCCTGAACGCCTCACGACAGTTTTTAACATTTTGAAACATTTGGCTGGTGCAGCCTAACCGTAGCCGAATTCGCAAGCCGACCAACTCCAAACCATGGTTGGCGATTGCCTCCATAGCAGGCCTAAAGAACTGGGGGTTTGGTGGTCTTCAGCTGTTTTCTGATCAGCCTAGTTCAATCAGGCTGGCTATGTTGTCTATATGCAATCAGAAAATAGCACATAAAAGCTCCCAAAGACACTGAAGACCCCCGAAACCCCCAGTTTTTGGTATGCTATGGAGGCTAGGTTGGCAAGTGTTCTGCAAGCATTCGGGAAGTCAAATTCTTGAATGTGTGACAGGGGCTTTACTTACTAAGTTATTTTTCCTAGATTACATGTTGTGAGCTGTTTTGTTTTGTGTTTTCCACAGCGTCAGGCCAAGTACTTTGAGAGTAAACAGAAGTCCATCAAAGCGAGGAACGAGTACCTTCTTAGCCTGGACGCCTCCAACTCTGCTATCCACAAGTACTTTGTCAACGACCTCTCCGATTTAGTGGATGTAAGTAACAAAGATTCTCATACTATCATGAAAGTTCATCTGTGTTGGTAGTTATATGTTTAAAGTTAAAACTTTTGGTCCAACCTTTGACCCAGTGTTGATGTCACACTTCAAAGAAGTCTCACTGGGTCAGTCTACTGAGGAAGACCAGAGTGACTGGTCAAAAGCTTTAGGTGAGAGAACTTTTTTGTGTTGGACCAAAAGTTTTAACTTTGAACAACAAAGATTCTCATTTTGTTTATTAGGCCACACCAATTTGATTTGTTACTTCTCGAATTTTTTCAGAAAAAATATGAAGGGACAAGGCAAAAAAACAACAACTAAGCATCCTAGACAACTACATTGTAGGAAAGAATACAAGGAGCTTTCTTCAACTGTCTGGGTCAAAATATAAGCATTTTGGAGTTGATTCAGGACTTGAATCTTTTCCTTTTTTGCCAGTAAGAAAAAACTGGAGAATGCATACCCGTGAACCAATAAATTAAATTGTTGTCGCGTTTCCAGGGCTCGAAAAACCCACCTAAAAAATTGGTTGCACAAAAGAATTCGGGTGCACCATATAAGATGATCCTAAACAACAAAGATTTTATTTTTTTTGACAATGTCATTTAGATGTCAAGAAGATGCTTGAATCTGAAATGGGAGCTAACTTCAAAATCTTAAACAAGTACTACAACAAAGATTTTATGATTTTTCTGACACTTAGATTCCAAGAATATCCTGCACACTATTATACGTTTGATATGTACAAAAATACCTACAAAAATATTTGGGTGCACAGCTCCAATTTTGGGTGCACTAAGGTGCACAATTTGCACCCAGTATTTCGAGCCCTGCAGTATTTCGAGCCTCACTTGTCGTGTGAGGTTTGTTGGGAACCCTGATAACAAAGCAGTTCCTTCTGAGTTGAAAACATGCGATGCTGCAACAAATGGCTATTATTACATCCTTACAAGTGATGTGGTTTCCTGTTTTGCCATGTTTGGTTAGAGTTGAAAGCAGACTTCCTCCCACCCTATACCCCACACCTGGACTTGGCACTAAACATGTTTGTTGAACCATGTAAACTTCCTTTTCCTCCAGTCTTCTTAGTTCTAACCTTTCATTATGGTAATGCCTAATGGAACAGAACCCTTTGTAATCACGACATTGCAAATGTTTGTATGGTACATGTAATTCAGTTGGATACTAGATCCTCTTCTTGGGTAGCCTGGGTGTCAGACTCCCATAAATATTTTCATCAGGTTGGAAGATAGGGTATAGAATTTTCTTCTGAAATTTCCTCAGAAGCTCCGAGGAAGGTGTCTGACAGACATCGAAACGTAAGCAGGTGAGAACCTTACTGGTTGTGTAAGAAGAAAATTCTATACCCTGGGTGTCCGACTGTTTCCAGGACCTACGCAGGATAGTTCCTGGACTTCAGGGCCAATATGCGACCAAAGAAATTATACCATAGTCCCCCTCAGTCAACTGGGTGCTCGCTTTGTAACCGGGAGGTCGTGAGTTCAAACCCCGGCCGAGTCATACCAAAGATAAATATTTGCTGTTTTCGCATTCACTTCTATACTGTGAATTTATTATTAGAACGAGCAAATAATTCCCCACTTTCTTTTTACTGCACCTGCCACCCCCGCGAACAACAGTTTCACGAACATGTCCATTTTTCTCAGACTGCAAAATTTTGGTACCGCGAGTATAAAGTGATTTACAGCAGTCACTATCTGCACCCTGTTGATAGAGGAGCCCGTTACAGCGATGTGACAGGAATGTTGTGATTTATGAAGATTCAGTTGTCTGAGGAAATTGAACTTGGTGATGGGAGAGAGCTTCTCAAGTCACTTGTGTCAAGGGCAAGTCCCAGGAAGAGCTATTAAAGAAAATCTTTGCAGACTCTGGGAGAAAGTCAAGTCAGGGCTCTAGCCAGCACCCGTTTTTTTGTCAATTGCAGGGACTTTGCAGCATATAACAGAAAATTTTTTAAACCAGTCTGTCAATCTTTACGAGAATATTGGCAACTAGAGTTCCTCGATCTCATACCTTCGCCAAATGATGTTAATCTTTATGACTGACAAATTATTATAGATTATTCCCCCCCTGATTTAACAAATAGGGTCCTTATTTTCATGAATTATATCATTTTATCATATTCTCAACCAAAAGACAGTCTTATACATGTATTAACAAACAATGCCATTCTAGCATTTCCTCGTAAATAATGCTAATGAGGTCCTGATTTGAATTCATTATGTTTAATGATGTTCACCTTCACTGAACTTTCAAATACCACAAGTATGAAATTCCAGGCAGTTATTATTACATAATTGTAAAATTTTCTCTAACTTGCTGATGGAAAAAAATTTGAGCTACCGGTAGCTAGAGCCTTGTCTGAGTAAAGGTAGAAATCTGTTAGAGTGTAGGAAAGGGCATTAACACTTGAAAAGTAAGGTGCTCCATGTTTCTGAAACTCTAAATTCCTTTGAGTACATCTGTATTTTCTCCTTACGTGTGTTTTATCACATCCAATCACAAAGATATATACTGTGAGCAGCTGCAACAGCAGAAATGTGGGGCTAGTTGAAGTCTGCTTGCCCGAGTGTGAAAATTAATCCCCCAGTTGTGTCTCCAATAAAATCGGAGGAGTCAATGCTAATGTATGGGTCCCAGAGAGTCTGAAAATTGGCCCATTTCATGGTCTGCAGTAGCCACCACCTGTGACTTCTGCTGGGCATGTATCACTATTATACTGTCAGGACATGGTGGTGTGTCCTGAGACTCTTTGGCACAACAGGGCTCGAAATCATGACTCTAGTCAGCTCAGTTTTTTTTCCGTCAGCCCAGGTTCATGAACGGACCTGGGGGGGGGGGAGAGTGATCGCAATCTAGGAGGGTCTGGGAGCAAATTTTGGAGCGTAACAAAACGGAATTTTCCCAGTTGAGAGGCAAATCATGGGGTTGAGAGTTAGTTGGTAGACTCTTTTGGATGTTTTTATTTCTTTTGCAATTTGGGGGGGGGGAGATTTTTGTCAATTTTGTCCAACCAAGTTTGATGAATTGTTTAAAACAGATTTTTGTCACACGTCAAAAAGTTCCTGCAATTGACAGAAAAACGGGTGCTGGCTAGAGCCCTGCTTTAAACCCTTTGGCACAACATGACTCAAAAATACGTTGTACTGGGTGCATGTGCACCTAGGTGCACCCAAAGTTGGAGCTGTGCACCCAGTTTCGTAAAACCCCACAAAATAACATATTTCCCTTGGAACGGTTAACCCTTCAGAAACATCATTCCATCTCGAAACGGTCTAAAGTGACCCTAACTGTCCCTGTGCCATTCCCGTTGCTATTTGTCTACCCCAGGCTTGTCCATGTATTAGCTCCTACATCAATATTACTGTCTGGAGCCAAAGGTCCCAGCTGTGTACCCAACCAGTAAAGCAGGAAAATTGATCAAGCCAGGTCGTGCATGAGAGAAATGCTGACCACTAAAACCTTTATTTTTTCCCCAGCCACTCTGGTAATCCGTAGGTAATAGGAAACCAGAATTTCATACGGAGAGCTTAAGATTGGGATTGAAAATTTATCATCGGAGGGAATAAAAAAGCATCAGGTTGTAAGCCGGTACAGATGGCAATATTGGAGTTATAGGGTAACCTAATGCAGAGTCATCAGTTCAGAGGTGACCTGTTGTCCTTGCCAGGGCATTTGATATGGAGCTCTGGAAGAAGTAGTACCCAAATGGTTAGCAAGTACAGGTTTATTTTATCTCTCTTGGTAGTCACATAAGCACTGATAAAATTTCCCATATATTATCATGTAAGTACAGTTGAAGTTCTCAACACCGAAAATCTTTTTGGTTTGTAAAACCAATGTTCTAGCCAGCATGCGTCATGAAAAAAGACAGACAAAAATTGATGCATAAAGCCAGCTGAAAATTCAGCCCAGGTTCATGATTACAATCTAGGGGGGCCTGGGGGCAAATTTTGGATCTTTGAAAATGCAATTGCACACATTTGAGAGGCAAATCATGGGGTTAGGAGTGGTTGTTGGTGGTCTTTTGTATGTTTTTATATTTTTACTTAATTTGTGTCAATTATGTCTGTAAAGATTGACGGATTGATTTAAAAAGTTTTCTGACACATGCCACAAAGTTCCTGTGAGTACTGGCTAGAGCCCTGATAAACATGTACATGTAGAAAGAGCTTGGAATTTTGTAGAGAGCAAGAAAATCAGTAGAAGTTTGCAACAGAGCCAATTTCAATCATTTCTAATGCTCATCGGTTGCTGTAAAGACGACTCAAGCCAGACAAAAATAGTGTGAAACTCACTGAGCAGTTTTTGGCAAGATGGCAAGTTTCTGTATTCATACAATCCTTTGGCAAAATGCCCTTGAGACGAGTGATCCTTCACTCTGTGCTACCTGAGGAATAATATGAGTTTGCAGTCTCCATGTATCCCTTCCAACTCCCATGCCATCGATCATAACATCACAGCTAGGCTTGGTGTTACAGAAACTCTGATAGATGGAGTAATCCGAGTAACCCGAAGATCACTCGCAGGTGAACTAGTGGATTAATCATTGAGTACTGGTGATATTGCTGCCAGAGGATACTGATCGATCACATGCCATCTCCTGCATGCTTTACAGAATCTTAATACTGTTGTTTAGATGACATATACAGTGTAAAGTCAATAGAATCTGAAAAACGTCAATGGCTGCTGAAGCTATATGACAAAATTATTGAGACTTTGAAGCCATTATCTTAATAAAATAAAATAAAAGTAACAGTATAGTGTAAAATCAGTTATAGAATCTCAAAAAAGTCAGTGGCTGCTGAAGCTACATTGTACTAAGTATATGCCAAAAATGTTTAGACTTGCCATATCTGCAATTGAAAACTGTGCAGCTTTTATTTTTAAAAGTAAAATAAAAGTTTCACAGTTTTCCAATTGTAAGTAATCAGTTCCATTTTTTGGGCCATTCATGTGTAATACATTTTTGTACTTAAAAAAAACCATACTTTTTTTTAGTATTATGACCACAATACAGCCTTAATTTTGACAGAAGTCATAATTATAGCAAACATACAGTAGGTCATATTCATTTTTTTTTTAGAAAAAAAAACGCTGTCAAACATAACGTTATATCTACAATACTTTGAAGGTTATTTTTTAGTTAATAGTTCCTAGTGTATTTGCCAAAAAAACAGTTATTCAAGCAACTGGAAATGATTTTGGAAACGGTCAGATGTTTCAGCTAGCTTTCATCAGTGACTGAGGATACTGGCTGAAACATCTGACCGTTTCCAAAATCATATCCAGTTGCTTGAGTAACTGCTTTTTGGCATATCGTATTACCTGGATGTCTAACCTTCATCGATGTATCCTAGTGTATTTGTTTGGAATTTCTTTGAAGTAGCAAGATTCTCCAAGTTTTCCCCTTCCCTTAGTAATATCCAAACTGGGCAAGTAGCCAGGGCTGGCAGAGTTTCTCATCAAAACTAATAGCCGGCAGGCAGACTGTTCCCATGATATTGCTCGCAGGGCGTAAAGTTTTAATATGGGAGCCACAGACTGAGGGATTGGTCGGGTCACACAAGCCAGGAGTTTTACAGCACAATTATGGCGCCCAATCTTATATTGCTCCTGTTCCAGTACCCAACATAGCCCTGTAAATAAGTGGATTGCTGCGTGATATATTAGGGAGATACCCGCGGAATATTAGGCCGTGTTGATTTGATTGTATGGATGACATCCGTGCGCGCATGAAATTTCATCCGTTCCCAAAAAGTTTTACCATACTGTAAATCGTACAAAGCAGCTGCAAAATGAGCAATATGTTGTGAAGTACAAAAAAGAAATAATAGAAAATGATACTAATGTCGTAGAATGCTAAAGTCTTATTTCAAAGGAAAAGAAGAAAATTTGCCAAAGGATTGTATGAATACAGTAACATCTAGCCAAAAACATTTTTGAAATGAAAATGAAGAGTCTATTATTCACAATACCATACTCTGTGTTTAGTCATTTGTTAAACCTTCATAACCACGTAGATTTCATAATGAAGGCAACTTTTGTTTTTGCAAAGTTTTTTTTTTAAATTTGCACGCTCGCATCAGTTTTGGGGTTCCCAGAGGATGTCATCCATATAATCACATCAACAAGGCCGTAGTAGGCTTGTCCAGATTCGGTCATTGACTTTTTGCTGTCAATATTTCAAAATGATATAGCGACAGTGTTACGCTTGCATTTGCGGTGAAGGCTTAAACATTTATATCTACCATAAACATGTTGGTGTAGGTCCACTTCCTATTTATCAAAGGTTTTACTTTAATGGGAAAACGTCTGCTTTACAATTTCAACAGCTTTAGTGTTACAGGGATGGAGATCTGTCAAATGTAGTAAAAGGGCTAGAAGACATCTATCTAAAATAGTGCTGTGTACCGGTTCACTGGACTTGGATCCGGACTTGTAAGAATTTTTAGGTTCAAGTCCAAAAAAACCTAAAAGTGAAAAACCGAGTCCGGACTTACATGTATTACCATAAAAGACCATTTCACATACCCCTTTTCTTTCCAAACCACCTAAAACCTTCCATAGATTGCAAAGTCTGTGCTGCAAAATGAAGAAAACATTGCCATCGGGCATCATCAAGTACCGGCCTCCATGTTATGTGGCCAAAGTTTCACCCAGACAACATTGCAAGGTTGCCAACATGCAATTTTGTATATGCCGTGGGTTTAGGTCTGGACTTACAAGTCCGGAACTGAACCTTAACCTCTGGACTTGAATCCGGACCTGAACCTAAATGTGGGTTTAGGTACGCAGCACTGATCTAAAATGTAGGAGATCGATAGATACAATTTTTAACCTGTAATATTTTCTTCTGGATGAATAGTTGGTGGGCAACAAGACTTGCTTTTTGGCTTACATGTTAAAATCAGTGACTGGTGTACTAGGAATCTCAAAAAATAGATGATGAGTATCATCATGATCTATTTTATTCATTCATTTTTGAAGATTTACCACATTTGTGGTAGGATTGACATACATAACAGGTGACTATCACCTCTTCAAGATGTCAAACCTGAGACCACACTGTAAGGTTTGAACCACTCACACTGGGAAGGTCCCCTGCTCTTTTTGATAAGTGTGGTGGGATTCTTTTTCGTGCTCAAGGTGTGGCTCTCCTCAAACACGGGACCTCGGCTTTACGTCCTATCTGAGCTAGGTAGTCATTTTCACCTGAGCCAAGTAAGGAAATAGGTGTTAACTACCTTTCCCAAGGACACAATGGGGCCTGTCAGGGATTTGAACCCAGAACCTTTGGATTCTGAGTCAACAACCCTAACCACAAGACCACCTTGTCACCTCACCATCATCATCATTGAACAGTCATCAAACATATAAGCCTTACATGTACATGCCTGCTTTGGTGTATAGGTGTAGTGTTATCTGCTCAGCAATGCCATTAACTGTTTATCTTTCTTCTGACTGACAGTGCATGGACCTGGGGTTCCACAGTGCGTTTGGTCGTGCCATGAAGACCTACCTGTCGGCTAACGACTGTGCAGACAAGTCTCACCAGGAGGGTCTGGACATCATCTCACAGTGTGTCTACAACCTGGACCAGAAGAACGACAAGCAGAAGTTCATGGAGAACTACAACGGAACCTTCCTGGTGCCACAGAAGTTCCTCTTCATTCCACATGGAGGGGATGAGGTAAGGCAGGGTGTTCCTCAGGGTGGCATACTTGGCCCTTTGCTGCTATTTCTAGTCAGGTTATGCTTATATATTTTACTCATCCTGGTATTGAAATTTATATGGTTGCTTTGGATATCTAGTCTAGAATTGTCAGACTTTCTTTATGGTTTGTACTTTTTTCGTATTTATTGGCCTAGGATCTTGAGTATGTCTGTCTTCTTGTTTTCTTTTATTTAGCTTAGACGTTAGAGGTAATTGAACATACCTAGGGTGCTATCATAAGTCAGATAGCACCTTTGGTCTGTTGCTCTAGATATGCATTATGATATATTTTCTCGAATTGTTAATCAACTAAACACTTCTGTAGCCTTTAGAAGATAGATAGATTGTCTGCATGACTTACATGTGTGTCACACATAGAAAGGGAAAAGCTCAACCAAAGACTGTTTCTTAGACGGGTATAAGGTACATGTAGGATATTGGGATTTTCTTGTACACAGCGAGTGATTCATCCTGCCATGCTTATGTTTCAAATGTCTATCAGACACCTTCCTCAGAGCTTCTGACTGGAGTACTGCTTCTCGCCGCTATATGTAGCCAATGTACGTGGGATTGTGTTCTCACCTACATCGGCTACATAAAGTGGTGAGAAGCAGTACTCTAGTCAGAAGATCTGAGGAAGGTGTCTGATAGACATTTGAAACATAAGGCCACACCAATTTAATTTCTTGGTTAATGGATTCGCCTGCTTCATTTTTTTCTGATTTGCAAAAAAAAAAAAAAAAAATTCAGAATCAACTGCAAAATGTTCATATTTTGCCCTGAACAGTTGAAAACAGTCCTTTTCATCCTAGTTGTTACAGTTATTCCATCTTTCAATGCAATGGTATCATTAAAAGTTCAAAATTCATTGTTTAAATTTTGAACCAGCCTGGTGTGTTGACTTCGTGGCTCTTATCGTACCATTTTGGGCCATAATAGGATGCCTAGGCCTGTTTTTATTTTTAGTTTTTTTCGCCCGCCCGCTCCATTATTTTTCTAGAAAAATCCGTTAACCAAGAAATTAAATTGGTGTGGCCTAAGCAAGGTACATGTAGGAAGAATCCCTGGTTGTGTACGAGAGAATGTCATTGTCCTGCCAACCTGATGATAATACTACAATAATGAGGTAGACTAAGATGCTGACATTTCTCAGTAGACTAAACCACTTGTAGTGCCCCTGTCTGCCGACTAACAGCCAGCCGTGGTCTCCGCACCTTTCACACACCCCCGTTGTCATGCTGCAGAACCACAGTAGGTGCCCTGTGTGCAGCGGAGGTGGGGGGGCGGGGGCCTATAGCACCCTGCCCCGCTCCATTATGCGATGCACTGGCTACAACCCAGGGAGAATGATGATCATGCCTTCTGGACAGGTACACGGGCAGAACAGGTTCAGAAATGACCAGACGTTCACACAGTTTTCCGTCTAATCTTCTAACCGGTTGCTTGGTTTGGTGGCTGTTGAGCTCTGTTCCTCTGCAGTGGTCATTAGGCAGCTAGACACAAAAAAGTACTAACCAGTCCTGTTTAGTGCTGTGTACCGGTTCGCGTTTACATGTAGGTTCAAGTCCAAAAAAAAAACTACAAGTCAAGAGCCGAGTCCGGACTTATATTACAAAAAAAAAACACATCACATACCCCTTTTCTTTCCAAACCAACTAAAATCTTCCATGGATTGCAAAATCTGTGCCACATAATGATGAAAACATTGCCATCAGGCATCGTCAAGTGTCATCCTCCATGTTATGTGGCCAAAGTTTTCCCCAAACAACATTGCAAGGTTGCTAACATGCAATTTTGTATATGCCATGGGCTTAGGTCTGGACTTACGAGTCCGGAATTGAACCTAAACCCAGGGTTCTCACCAGGATTTTTTCACAGCGTAGGGGTCAGGTATAGAAGGGCAACTTTATGCAGCGCGAGTCACGCACCGAGTCCCCAAAACATGGGCCTGATATTCTCCCCCAAAAATTTTGTAACTCATATTAACCACTTTAGACACTGTTTATTATTTATTGGGGGACAGATTTTGTTTTCCCTTTGTTATAGCTTCATTCTTAAGTTATATTTTCATTTTTTTTAAGATTAATGAAGCTTCTGCCCCCAAAAACCATCCCTACGCTGGTTGAAACACAGTGTAGGGGGCTAAATCACAGCGTAGGGGGTCAAAATCACAGCGTAGGGGGCCCCTAAGCTCCTACGCCAAACAGCCTGGTGAGAACTATGTAAACCTCTGGACTTGAATCCGGACCTGAACCTTAATGTGGGTTTAGGTACACAGCACTAGTCCTGTATCTAACAATTGGAAACAGCAAGGGTCTACCTGGATTAAGTTAATCATTTACAGCAGCAGTTAAAGTTGTTACCTGTCTATAATTAGAAAATTAGAAGCTATTGTAGTGCTGACATGGCACTTGGCTAGGAGTTTGGCCCTTCCACTACTGGCAATTAAAATCTGCATAACGCTGATGCCCTTTTTTCTGCAGGAAAATAGTCTAGGCTTAGTTAAGCTAGGAGTCCTTTAGCTAGGCAGAAAAGAGACCAGGATATTGGATTTGTTATGAATTTCAATTACATGTGCATTGCAGTTGCATTGCAGTTCTTAGTGGTTGGTTGGCCCACATTATTGCGCCATTATTGCTCTCTCATGATTGCAGCTGAGCGTTTATTTCCAGACATCTTGTTACCATAGTTGCTTGTGCTTTTTGTGTTTCAGTGTTGAGCTGCAATGTGACTAATTCATCTCATGTACTAATATTAATGTGCTTGTTATGTGACTACTAATCATCATTTTTATGCAGTAGTTTCTTTTTTCATAACATCTTTTAGCAGATGTCATTTGGCCAGAATTGAATTTTATGTTCTTTCATGTTATAGGGTACTACTGGGTAGAATGTAATGATGAAAAAGTAATATGATTGTACTTGGGGACATTTTGGTTTGGTGTGGATTATTTTATGTCTTTACATGTTGTGACTCAACTATGAGCATTCCAAAGTTTGTTTTATATTTACATGTAAATGATAAATTAATACGTTTTTCTGGTACAAGTACATGTACTGAAAAATTTGATTTTTCCAGTACCCAAAATTCAGACATTTTAAAAGTTGTACCAGTCACTGATGTTAATCTCGAATTCACCTTTTTAAAGGCTTTCAAAAGGTGTTATGAGCATTAAGATCAGGTACATGTAAAAGTAGACATTTTCATTGATGTACCACTTTCTCTATGGTACATTTCAAGGCTCGAAATAATTTTTTTCAGGAATGTGCAAAATTGCACGTTGGCAACATTTTAGGTGCAATTTGAAATATTTATGTGCAAAATTATATTTAGTTGGTCTGCAACTGTTTTACCTTTCCAGGGTGCCACTAGTAACTCCCCCACCCCTACAACTGTACCTCTCTCCACGTTACAAACACTAGAGTAACTGTTGGAACTTCCGAAATTAAAAACATTCTTTATGACACATAAAGGACATTTACCAACTGTCTGAGAGCAATGAATTATTTTCATTTTGCATATTTGTTTCCTTTGATTATCCTGCATGAATGTTTTTAAGTGCAAATCTTGAAAATCATGTGCATTTTGCACATTGCACATGGGTATTTCGAGCCCTGAATTTGTATGTTAAACCATGTACGTTTGTGCTTGCATTGTGGTGACCTTGTGTGACCTTGTCTGTGCAGGTGTGCCAGGTGAGTGCGCAGCAGCAGGTGCAGGAGGAGCTGGACACCAGGTACAGACAGATCCACCACAGGCTCATGTGTGTCAAGACTGAGAACGAAGAGGTAGGAATTCTCAGCATCATACATTTAAGCCTCGGTCACAACCCGCCGTACGTGCATCTGCGTGCTGTCTATGTGCAAAAATGTGGGCAGGCGTAGGGGATCCGTAAGTGGTGAGTACCGCCTCCGTACGGAATCCTACGGATTTCGGAGCACGCAGACACGCCGTAGAACTTAACGTGCGTGTAAAACTTTTTCTGCGTGTGGTCTGCGGATTCACCACCCGTACGTGCTAGTACGGGCGACACGCATGCCCTGTACGTACCGTACATAAGACGCACGTGTGAGTACGGCCTCCTTACGGTAAAGTTGCAATCGCAAAGAGATCGTATGTTGTAAGCACGTACAACTTGTGCAACGAACGATGCACGCAATCGCTCACGGCCAGACGTGGCGTGCAGACCACACCACCTTGCGCAACCGTGCGAGTGACGTGCGTTGACGCCACTCCTTCCCCACGTTTTCAAAAAAAAACGTAGCACAAAAAAAAACGTAGCAGACATGGCCTCCTAATAAAACTTATGGACAAAAAGCACGCACGGCGAGTTGTGACCGAGGCTTTACTGCCTTTAGACATCAATTGTTAGTGTAAACAAACCTGTAGACATGTTGATGAAGGTCAGACATCCAAGTAATGAGATACACAAGGAAATTGTTATTCAAGCAACTGGAATTCCCTCCCTGACCCTGATAAGTGTTTCCCACCAACCTACAATCTACAGGCTTTCAAATCAAACGTTCACTGCCATCTCTTGACATAGCCATGTTTCTCTCATATTTCTGGTTCAATGCCGAGAAGTGGTCGCATAGGCCTTGCATTGAACTACTCTGTTAAAAAAAAACAGTTGTAAGACTCTTTAAGAAGAAAGACATAATAATTCTTGTGTTTGTCTTCAGGTGCGGAAGACCCTTGACGTGACGTCTCAGAACCTGCAGGACCAGCTGAACGTGGTGGACTACGACATGAGTCCGTACTTCACCCTGCAGGGCTCACCGGACACACCGCCGGACACACTGTCCTCCAAACAGAGCATGCAGAGGCACCGGCAACACAAGCAGGAGATAGAGGACTACTACCTAGAGGTAAGGCCACACCGACTTAATTTTATGGATGGCATCTGCGCGTGCATTGATTTTCCCTTGTTCTCAAAAAAAAAAAAAAAAGATCACGTCCTCCGAGGCTATGGCCTGACCACGACTCAGTACATACTGTGCCGATTAGTACATGTACATGTACGTACTGTACCGATTAGTACATACGCACAGTGCCGATGCATGAATTCCACAAAAAGCCAGTATGTACCGGCTTGTTGTATACGTCGCTAAGTGCTGCAAATTCACAACACCAGCTTTGCATTCCTGTGGTTTAGTAGCATTTTTATTTTTGGCCGGAATTTTTTTTTATTCACCCACGCGCACTAGTTTGGGGATCTTCAGAGGATATCATCCATAAAATTTAAGTCGGTGTGGCCTAACATAAGAGACTGTGTTCAGATGGGTTTAAGGGGGCACACCCCAGTTTATTTTGGGTCTCAATTCAATTCTGCACACCCTCAACTCTAGTGATTGCGTCTTTCAGGAAATAATTCTGAAGCGAAAACACTGTTTGGAAATGAATCATATCCCACTAGCTACAAGAACAACAGAATTTCACTTTCTTAAAGATCCCAAATTTTTGAAAATTTTAAGGAAAAAGAGATTTTCCTACGAAGAATGATGACAAAATTTGGCCATTTTCACGTGGACTCACCCATAGTTTAGCCACCAAAACGACAGAACTGTGAAATGTCGTGTAAAGTGCCTTTCCCAAGGGCACAAGTTTGGGAACATGGTAGGATTCGAACCAGGGACCTCTTAGTTTTGAGCCAAACAGTTACACTCTGCTTTTATGCCACACAACCCTAAAATTCCTACAAAAACCTACTGTGTCTAGCACAAAGTTATGCTGGTCCCACAACTGATGGACAGAAACATAAGCCTTTTCTTTGCCTTTGGACAGGAAAACTTGAGAATATATTCTCTGTAGTAAACTGTTGGCAGATGTTGAACATTCTTTGTTAATTTGGGTTTGTTGTGTTGTAGAAATTCCGAGAGTACACCCTGGGCAGCAGTGTGGTCACCAGGCTTCAAGCCAAGTATGATCTGATACAGAAGGCTCTGGGGGAAGGTAAGGAACTCATTTTTACAGTCAGTCTCAATCACTGGTATATTATTGGTAAGGCCTTGGGAAAAAATGTGTTTCTGTGGCTTCCGGGTCCACACTAGTAAAAACCCGTCGACCCTAGCCTTTTTTTTAATCGACCTCTCGTAATTTCAAATCCTCTGAATCTGTAACGTCATTTATCGCATTTTCAGAAGCAATTTTTTTTCTTCACAAAATCAGTTGAAATATTTGTTCACAAGCAAATAGGTGGATGGGTCCTTAAGACATTCCCGATGCATTGATGGATCATCTTAGTCGAAATCTAAAAAAGAACATCCCTACCTACCAACCTTAGTTTTTTCAGGACTCAAGCTGGAAACATAACATCAATTTTCCTAGGCCTACAGAGCTTACTGGTGAGGTATTTGTGCCATATTGCTCATAACTTTACATGTATTTAAGCACACCTACACATGTAGATATTGACCAAGTATACTTGTATACTACTACCGGTAAGTGCTTTTCAAGGAATTAAAACTCATGTACTTTTTCCTTATAGGAGAAAGAAATGCAGCTTTATCTGTTGACCCTGACTCCCCTACAAGGTGAGTACATGTCTATTATAAGTCCAACAGGAATCACTCTTGCACACCATATAGAACCATGGCAGTCAATATTGTTGTATGATACATGTGGAATTGTGGATACATCCTCCTTGTACATGTAGAATATTCTGTTATGCACCATGCTGTAGTAATATCGTTCAATCTAATTGCTTGTACAGATACATGTGCTTTTCATACATGATAATTAAGGCATGGCCCCAATTAAGATATTATTTGCTACTGTCCTGTAGATAATTAAATTCTACCATGCACATGAAAAGGCTTTACAAAGAAAAAGAAAATTTGGAATGATTAGTTGTCTTCCCCATCTAGACCCCCCATGCTGCCCCCCAAACCGAGGAAGATCAGTAAGCCGGGGAGACCGGCCTCTGCGTGTAAGGCCAAACTGTTCGGTGGGAGCATTCTGGAGTACATCCAGGTTAGTAACAGTACTACAGTATAGTTGTGACTTACATTTTCTCCTCATGATGACCAAATCATGATCCTGTTGGTTTTGTTGTAGCATGCATAGTCCAGTGGTGAGTGACCCTGCCTCTGGACCAAAAGGTTGGGAGTTCAAATCTTGGCTGTCATCGCTCACCTGACATGAACACTACTGGAAAGGGTCGTAGTCCTTAGAATGGGTCCACTGTTGCATGTCGAAAAGAGCCAGGGGAAGTTCCCCGGTACAATGAACCTGTAAATACTACATGCTATCTGTCCTCTGTCATAACCAGTGGGAGATTAGCTCTTCAGTGAGCTAAAACTGGATTGAGGTCACTTTCCTTTTCCTTTTTCGCTTTTGTACCATTAAAATCTCTTTTGACATGTTATGGAAACTGGAAACTATTTAAGCCTTGAAAGCTTTCTGAACTTTTTTTTGTTTGTTTTGCAGGCCTCAGGTCATGAAATTCCTCTTGTCATCAGAAGTTGCATCAGAGTCATCAACCTGCTTGGTGAGTGGGAGGAGTTTTCTTACTAGATACACATGTAATACAGTAGCATGCAGGGCTCTAGCCAGCTCAAAATTTTTTCCCTATAGCCCAGGTTCATGATCAGACCTGGGGAGAGTGCTCACAATCTAGCGGTGTCTGGGGACAAATTTGGGATTTTCAAGCCTTTAAAAATGCAATTTCCCACATCTTGAGAGGCAAATGATGGGCTTGAGAGTGGTTGTTGGTGGATTTTTCAAATGTATTTTTTCTGTCAATTTTGTCCATCAAGGTTGACAGATTGGTTCAGAAATTTTTCCATCACACACTGCAAAGTTCGGAAAAAAAGGTGCTGGCTGTAGCCCTGGTACTATCATGTATCATAAATCCTTGAGTTTTGAAAAAAAAATTTTTGGAATGTTTCTCTCCACAAAGAAAGATTGTTCTGAATTTTTTGTATTGAAGCATGAAGCACCCTAAGTTTGATGATATCTTGTTTATTCGGAACATCAATTTTATCTGACAACTTTTCTTTCAATCTTGTGCAGGTCTGCATCACCAAGGGATCTTCAGAGTTCCCGGGTCTCAAGTTGAAGTCAATCAGTTGAAGGAGTGCTTTGAAAGAGGTGGGATGAAAAGCAAAGATAGTGAAAAACTTAAAAAGAATGATCTGAAGTCCTGTATATGGAGTCATGTACATGTGAATACCAACATCTCTTTGAGTCTGAAAAGCAAAGATAGTGACAAACTTAGATAAAACACATGTATGTATAGTCATGTACATACCAACATCTCTTTGACTCAAATTTCATATTTAGATGGCATAAATGATAACTTACATGTATCTATAAGACGTCCACTCAGGGGACAGACGAAAAGTGGTCTTCTTAGACAACTGGTCTTCGTATATGAAAAGCATCAAGCAGAAGAATGTCCATCCAGTTTACAATAGATTGCCCCATAGACCCAAAGTGACCCAGCCGGGACCGTTTTCCATTGCACAAAAAGTGTCATGCTGTTGAAATCAATGAATAAGACATATGGCCGACTATGTCTTGTTCTGCCCTGTTTTATTTGAAAAAAGATTCTGTGAAGTTTTTAATGTAAACAAGGGAAATCGTAGATTTCAAACCTCCGTTTTTTTTGTGTTCTATTGGTTTAGGTTATTTGTTTGTGTGTAGTATGAAAGTTATGTGCGTAATATGTTTGTATGTGTTTGATGGCTACTGACGGTTGGTTCGGTATGGACTGTTGATTAACGTGTCTCACAGTCTGACAGCCTGCACCGTCACCCGCGCGATTACCCCCGCCGTCATCCCGCGCCGTCATTGCTGCGCCGTCACCCAAAATTTTTATCGGAACCAGACACCCCTCTGTTTGACCCCTTTTGAATGCTAAGACCCAAAACTGCAACCGCCCCATTCCTTAACAACATGGTAATTACCATTTTCAGCATGGCGGGGGTGTCCGGAGCACTTAAAAACCTTTTATTTCGACGCCCATAAACACATATGCAATTAAACAAAAACGTTCTGCATCATCTGCAGCCCAATAGCAATACGTATACAGAACCACAGACAAATCCGTCCAGCCGATCGCGAGAAACAGCTGCTGACAGAAATGTTTCGAACCATAGTAAAACCTCCTCGCGGAAGGATATCTCCTTCCCCGGAGGTAATAATCAATTACAGAAGTTAGTCTAAGAAGAACATAAAATGTCTATTAATTTGTCAAATTGTTCAGGTACAAGTACAGGTCCGGATCCGGACCCGTACCTAAACCTCAGTACCTGTACCTGTACCTGATATCACATTTAGGTACCTAAATGTAGAAATAACCAGGTGTTTCTGTACCATCGCAGGTGAAGACCCCCTGTCAGACCCAGGTGAGGTGACTGACCTGAACTCAGTAGCAGGGTGTCTGAAGCTGTACTTCAGACAGCTGCTGGACCCACTCTTCCCCAGGTCCAAGTTTGAAGACCTGATCACTGCAGCAAGTAAGGCTTGTTAACTTCTCAGCTCGCTGTAGTCATGTGTTTTTACTATTTGAATAAAGTGTGCCAAGATATCGATGTGCACATTGTACAGGGCTCGAAATAGACTGGGTGCATGTACGTGTGCACCTTAGTGCACCCAAAATTGGAGCTGTGCACCCATATTTTCCCCAGTGCACCCAAATATTTTGTAGGTATTTTGTACATATCAGATGTATAATACAATGTAGTATGCAGGATATTCTTGGCCTCTAAGTGTGAGAAAAATAATAAAATCTAGTAGTACTTGTTTAAGATTTTGAAGTTATTTTTAAGTAAATTTTTTTTAGATTCAAGCTCAGAAGAGGAGCAGTAAGATCTCTAATTATGTTTTGTTTTATATGGTGCACACCCTAAATTTGTTTGTGCACGTAATTTTCTAGGTTAGGTGCACCAGTGCACCTATTCCCAAAAATGAATTTCGAGTCCTGTCGTAAAAGTATCATGAAAAAAATCAGGAATTACAGTAACTTGTTTGTTTTAGTTGATAATAAAGTCTTGGTGCTTTAATTTTTTCTTCGTTGTGAGTGAAACAGTAAACTTGATGTTCCCCTCTTCTTCCTACAGGAATGGAGAACCTACAAGACTGCCTGGACGCCCTCCGAAACATCATCGACTCCATGGAGCACCCGATAGTGGTCGTCATGAGATATCTCTTCGCTTTCCTCAACCAGTCAGTACCTCTTCTCTCCCATATCTACACTTTCAATCTCGTAAAGAAATGAAGTATTGTACACAGACTGCCATACTGTAGATTACATCATACACAGACGGAAAACAGACGGCCAACCTGTCAAAACTGTGCTACTTAGCAGATGAATTATTAAAAGCATATACAGGCTTATCTTTCTGAGGCTTCCCTTGGGTCCTACTGACCATCTGTACATCTAGATGGTCTATCCTAGATTCTGTTCCTCTGCAGTTTGTTAGGTTTTGGATAGGGGGAGCTTCTTGCTGTGAATGGCATATAAAATAAAAGAGAACCATTTTTCAGTTCAGAGCTACATGTATGTTGTATGTTTTTGTTTTAGGCCCTGTTGATTCAATTATATGGATGGATGTCGTGCACACACATGAATTTTCCTCTGTTCCAAAAAGAAGTTGCAAAATGAAAATATATGCCGTAAATTGTGAACAATATTGGAAAATGATACTACTGTTTTAGAATGCCAAAATCAATTCCAAAGAAATAGAAGAAAATGTGAAGAAATGAAAATGAAGAGTCTATTATTCGCCATACCATACTCTGTGTGTTTAGTCATTTATTCAACCTTATTGACCACATAGATTTCATAATGAAGGCAACTTTTTTTGGCCAAACTTTTTTTGCAAGCTTGAATCAGTTTTGGAGTTCCCAGAGGATGTCATCCATATAATCAAATCAACGTGGCCTTATTTACAGAAAATGCCTTTTTCAATATTGTTCTTTTTTATTCCCTCCCAGCCTGTCTTCCTACAGTGATGAAAACATGATGGACCCGTACAACCTGGCCATCTGTTTTGGACCCACCCTCATGCCCTGTCCAGAGGAGTATGACCAGGTCAGCCTCACACTTTCTAACCACTCCATGTACATGTGTACAGTGTGCTAAGATGGATAAAGCATAGCAAAGCTTCCATATTTAACCTAATGCGTCAGGTATTTATCCTAGTACGTCTAACCTAATCAGTTTTACGTGTTTGGAAGAAGGAGGTCCATTTTTTTATCTAAAATTTAATGTTCAAGATTTTTTTAAAGGTGGACTGATTCTGTCCTGATGAAGGTTTATATCCTGATATCATATACTCAATCTTTCTTGTTCTTCCATAAAATACTGTCTGAAACATTTGCAGAAATGCAGGAAATGCCATTTCAGAAAGTTCAATTTTCAAAAGTTTCTGTGACTTCTAAAAGACTTGCACCCTTCGCATGAGTCTTGTGCCTATGTGCAGCACTCACTGGTCCCCCAGATAGTAAGAAGAGCCCTAAAGAGAAATCCTGGCTATGGGATGTCATTTTCACATTGTCACTAAATGCAATGAAAATTTGCCACCTGGACAGACAATGACTTATGTTTCTATTCGTTGTTGACTGCAGGTGATCTACCAGCCGTATGTAAATGAGCTGACTAAGACCATCATCACCTACCATGACAGTCTGTTCCCACCTGATCTGGACGGGCCTGTGTATGAGAAGTGTATGGGGGAAGAGGACCCCTTTGTGTGAGTATGGTATACGAGCCTGGGTATACTACATGTCAAGTGCTAGTGTCAGTGTTACAGAAATGAAAAGAAACCTACAGTGGGTGTCACTGGAAGACAAGCAAAAAAATGTCCAGACTATGCGCATGATGTACAAAATGACTAAATAACATGTGGACGTACCAATTACTAAGTACCTAACAGCAGTTCAAAAAAAAGAACAAGATATAGTCATGCCTTCAAGTTGAGGACCAAGGATTGAGGTTTTCCAAAAAAAATTTTTCCGAGAACTATTGTAGAGTAGAACTTGCTACCACCAAGTACAGTAGGGGCATCCTCAATAGATAGCATTAAACAATGTTTACTGGTAGGTTTACATAATCAAAGGCTACATGTACATGTAGGTGTAACAAGTCGTTGAGTGTAATATGGCCAACTGCCACCACCCCGTAGGCCTTCGAAGCTGGTGTTTTACGCCAAGGGGCTTGTTATACCGGCTGTACAGATACAGATGCAAACACTTTGTGCAGAAAGGAGATGAAAGAGCTACAATGTACATTTGTAGCTACAGTAGCATCGATGAACACTCTGGGTGCTGCCTTTCTTTAGCTTTCAATGTGCAAATATAAATGTACCATTGTATTTTGAATTTCTCTTACCTGTGATATATTTGTACCCCCACAGTGACCCTGTTGCCAACATGGACAACATTTCTGAAGACAATCTGACCATCCCCAGTGAGGATGGTGAGTCGTCCTCTCTAGCTCATTACGTACAAATACCATCATAATCAATGTTCTTAGATTAAAGGCATCCAATGCAATTTCGTATCGTAGGTTGCTTCTAGCTATTTATGGGTGGTATCCAAAAATAAAGGGACTCCTGACGTTGCTTGTTTTGGAGCTATTTCAAATGCTTAAAGTATGAAATGATGACAAAAATGTGCTAAGAACTAGCAGTAAATGTCAATATTAGACAGATTTCCAGAATATTTTTGTGTTTCCGCCCTGAAATTACATTGGATGCCTTTAACATGTCATAGGGATTGTCTGATTTTATTTGTACGTCTGGTGAGTTTTTGAAAAGTCCTAAATAGCAACTCTTGCAAAACACACTTGGTAAACATGAACATCTCTATTTTTTGTTACGAGAACATTGTTACTGATTGCATGCAAAGGTTCTTTTTAAAAACATTGAGAATCATGGAAAGACAACGATGTGGGTCTGGTTTAAGTTGCTGTAAAATCCTTCTAGAACTGGCATCTGTAGGGTCGCAGGACTCCCTAGACTGGCTAGACTCGGAGTACGCAGAGCAATTTGACAGGGACGGATCCATCAGGAAGAAGAAAATAGGTGACAAGCCCAGTACACATACATCTTACTTGTACAACATGTGTTCTAGCCAGTGTCCATCTTTCCATCATTTGATGGAATTTTGCCGCTTTTGTAGACAAAGATGCGTCATCTTTGACGGACAAAAATCATCATTACAATTGTATAGAAAGAGATCTCATGGAACTAAGCTTACTCGTAGACTACCAGCTAAATTCGCAGCTCAAAATGCAGGAAATAGCGTTTTAGATGGTCAACATTTTTCTGGTGAAGCAAGCCCCTGAACGGACGAGCTTGACAGGGTCAGACACAAATGAGATACATTCTGGCTAGAACACTGATGTAACCTCTCCTATGTTTAAGGGTTTCTGGTGGAAAGGACTCCCATGCATGTTAACATTCAAAGCTCTTTTTCTTACTAACTGACAGGACTAAATCTCTTGGTTCCAGGGCAGCCGCTGTAATGTTCTCTTTTCATTTCTGTTCTACAGGGTTCATTGATATATTCCTGCAGATTGCTGTAATTTTTCTCTTTTTAACAATTTCCTTCCTTCCTGAAGCATGAGTTCCTTCCATATGTGTCTGTTTCCTTGTATGGTAAATTAATGTGTTTGCTTTTCAACAATTCATAAATGTGACTGTTTCACAGACTTCAGACCTTGTTTCAAATGCTTGTGTTATTTCAAACTGAATTTCTTGTGTTTCCAGGGTATGTAAGGTTGCAGACATACTTAAAATGGGAAAGGGCAAAAGCATGGCATGCCCTTCGTCTTCATGCTAATATGTGTGCTAACCTTGAAATTTTCTCAGAAATGACGTCCCACGGCTCTATTGAGTCCCTGGACAAGCTGGACTCCCTGGAAAGCACCGAGGGTATTGAGAGGAAGCGAGGATCGTCCAAGAAAAGCTCGCTAAGGAAGAAAGGTGACAGCCATGGACGGTCCCTTCTTCACCTGTGGTCTTCTCTAGCTGTGCCTGCCGCAAATTTACATGTAGACTTCATCTGCTACTGCCCTCACGCCTAGAAAAAATGTTGTGTTTCCTGTTTCCCGACGAATCCTAGAAAAAACATTTTTTGTGGGTGTGCAGACCCCTGCAAGGGACATAAATTTTTCGAGCTGATCGAACTGTTCTAGCTCAATGATCTGACACCTCACTGAGTGATGAAACGTTGTACAGTCAGTTTTTCAACATTGACATTGCAAATATAAGTGTCCTCATGCAAGTTATACTTTGTTAAACTTAATTGTATGAGTTTAGAAATCACCAAAATCTAATAGAAAAAAAGGACCTGTAAAGAAAAAAAAGATAATCCCTATCTACCGACCCTAAGTTTTTCAGGACGGAAACAGGAAACACAACATTTTTTTTCCTAGGCCTCACCACTTCGTGTTCAGTCGTGGCTTGACTGCTATAACTGCTCTCTGTTCAACAGGCACCTCCAGCATTTATTACATCCTTCCTGCAGGAAACCTCTCCACTTTCACCTTTCAGATGCCACATCTTCCTCTTTTGTCTGCATGACAGTTTTTCTCATTGTCATTTTTCTAATTTGTGTGCTGTGCTGTAGTATGGTGTAGTTAAGTTTAAAAAAAAAGGTGGGCTTGGACATTGAAGTTTGCACAAAGACCAATAACTTTTTGTGTTTAAATATTACAAGCATAATGTCTACATGTACATTTGTAGGTTTGTACATACATGTATTTGGTGAAATGGGCAAAAAGTGGGTTACAACATTTCAATCTAATTAATGCTCACTCCTGATGCCACTCTGCTGTTTAGTTAGAAATTTGTCAAGTCCCTCTCACAGCTGCCTAACCTTGTAACCAATGCAGACTATGTTACACAAAGAATGGAGAATTTTGACCAGCATTTGGATAAGACCTATGAAGTTGTTTTCAACAATATACAGTTACATGTATTAGGATCAGTACAGTTCTGCGAAGCCGTACATTTTGCTTGAGAGTCTGTATGAATGGTTTATTTCAAAAGATGCAAAACATTGTCACAAATGTTGCAGACATTGCATTGGGACATTACAATTTGGATTGGAACATAAAGGAATTGGAAGTAAAACACAAAAGAGTAAAAACACTCACTCCCTGTACAATATTTGCTGGTAAGAAATAAGAAGTAGAAAAGTGTTACAAGTGTGGTTCAGTTACTGTAGTTCTATCATGTACATGTATGGTAAAGCACTGTTTGTGTGTTCAGTGTACTAAACATACTGTGGTTGCATTTTCAGAGCTTGAGCCAATGGAAGCCATAGCCAGATTTGACTATGTAGGGAGGACAGAGAGGGAGCTGTCCTTTAAGAAAGGAGACAGTCTGCTGCTATTCTCACGTGCCTCGGACGACTGGTGGGAGGGGAGGTGTCACGGGGAGGACGGTCTGGTACCTGACAAGTACATCCATGTCAAAAGCTGGTATGTCTCTACTTCTTAACTTTTACACAGAACTTACAAAGAATGTTTGTGCCAGACAAGTACATCCATGTCAAAAGCTGGTATGTCTCCCCATCTTATCTTAGATTTTACACAGAACTTACGTAGAATGTTTGTGCAAGATTGCCATTGTTGTTGTCATTTTATATTATTAGTGTTCTCACTATGCTATGATTTGGACCTATCATGATCTTTTAACTAGGGTAGGGGTGTTTCTTTTTTAGGAGAACCTTTTTACTCTTCATAAATCTTTTTAAAGTTTGACTTTAGAAGCTGCATGTATAACAGATGGAAAACATAACTTATTTGTCTTCATACAAACATACAAAATTTGTCTTTCAAAAAGCAGGAAATAGTGTCTCAGAGAATTATGACTTTTAACATTTTTCAGTCACCCTACAGTGCTCATGTCTTTTGGACTTAATGTGCAACTTGCAATACAGATACAGTAGTTTTCCTTCTGTACCTGATCCCTATGCTGTGAAAATATTCTCGTGAGAACTCTGGTTATTGAGATGACAGAAATAGGTACATGTACACATGTAATGTGTACATGTATATAGTAGAGCCTGTAGAGGGGATTCATTCCTCAAGCTAACCGACATCTTGCACACGCAGTTGTCCCTCAGTAAGACACCTGGAGCCGCATAGTTCCCGTTTAGAACTTTTATTCAGCCTGTCACACAGAAATAGGTAACATGCTCTAATTTAGACTCCTGTCCTTGTCTCCAGTGACACGGCAACAGACACCTCCTCCCTGAGGAATGACTCAGACAGGGAGAGTCTGGGTTCTACTCCCGGCTTCACCACCCCGTCCACTGTGTCCCCGAAACACATGACCCCGTCCACGTCCAAATCCGACGTGGGCTCAGACACGGACACCATCGGTCAGGCGTCGGGCGTGACCAGCAGCGTGTCGGGCAGCCTGAGCGCGCTGAACGAGGAACAGCAGGAGGAGAAGCTCAAGGTCACGCAGAGCATCGAGCGGGAGATCGACGCGACCTTGGCAACGGTCATGTCGGAGTTACAGGCGCTGGAGATGACCAGCTCCAAACACACCCCAGACGTAGTACTGGACACTCTGGAGAGAGACAGACTGGACAGAGTGGCCAGGCCGGCCAGTACAAGTAGCGACAGCGCGGTGGCCGCCCTGCGAGCGGAGAAGGCCAGCGCGGGGACAGTAGAGCAGGTACAGATCCAGAGACCGGCCAAGCTGTCGCTGACGCGTGGACAACCCTCCGCTCAGGCCGCGGGAAGCTTCGGCACATCCACCAGCAGCTTCAGTAGTTTCCGATCACGGGACAAACCGCCGGTTTCACCCAAACCACCGCTCCCGGGCAAACCTACTAGTCCTGGCCCAAGCACTGCGAAGAAGCTAGGGACCATGTAGGGGTGTCTGGGTGTACCACAAGTTTGAACCATACTGTAAGAACTAGGAACACTTCTGTTGTGTTTGTGGAACAGATTTTTTACCCATATCTATAACACTGTTTTGAAACAAGCTTCAATCAAACACTTCTGTTACTCAAACACTATGTACTCAACAGTTAGATAAGAATAGGAATTTGTCCTTATGTGTTTCTTCAGACTACCCAGCTGGCTGAACTGCCTAAGTAAGAATTTGAGAGAATTCTGTGAAGTGTATTCTAGGCTAAAGACTAAGAGTCATGTTTCTCATGTTTTGTTATTGATAATCATAGCATAATTTACTCCTAAGAACAAGAATCTGTCTTGTTTTGTCATCAATCTAACCAGATAATGTATAAAGTATTGAACATTGTTATGTAAGAAAAAATGACCATGTTAATAATTAACGTTGACAATGAAAAGTTGTATATAACAATAGGTAATTAATAATAAGTGGGGGAAGGTGTTGCATTGTACAGTGTACAATGTCTTGTAATGTAATGATGCAGCAAATACATGCAGAATTGCATGTACAAAACGTTAACATGTCAAATTACATGTATGTTGGTATTGTGGAAATCTTTTCAGCTTCATAGGTACTTTTTGCCAAGCAAAGTTGACAGTTTTGCTTCTTAGTTAAGTGAACTTGACTGAAGTTCTGAATGTTTCTTGTGACTATCTTTCAAGTCAATATTTAGTTTTATGTTTCATAGCTAACCATGGATGTTTTCTGGTCAAAAACTGATCAAAATGTTTGTAAGCATAATAGTACACAGTAATGTACTTAGGTTATTTTCAAGGATTACAGTGTCAATTTGCCACATTGAAGTTCCATATATTTTTGCTTGGTCAGTGCTCAATATATAGATATGTTCGATATAGTTAGTGCACAGTTCACACTATATTGGAAACGAGTTCTGTGAGTAGGAATAGGAAAGAACACAGACACACATGACTGGGCTTTATATGGGGGATGTAGTCTCCATAACAACAACCTTGTACAGACTTCAGAGCATCTATCTAAACCCCAGAAAGAACCTCTTACTAACACTGCTGCTAATGGCAAATGCCTTGACTGTTCTACACAAAAAGCTTCTGCTGCCTTTTTATGGAGAGATGTTCAGGTCTAGTGTATCACTGGTCAGTTTGTGCATAACCTGTCTAGTATGCCACTCATACATTGATTGAATCATATGTATTTTGTTGTAACATTAGACTCCTTGAAAGAAAAATGTTGACTTCCCTACACATGTACATGTATGTATGTATGTAGGAAAAATGTTGACTTCCCTACACATGTACATGTATGTACATGTACGTGTATGTATGTATGTAGGAAAAATGTTGACTTCCCTATACATGTACATGTATGTATGTACATTTTGTAGGACAGCACTGGTAGAAATTTAAGGCCTGGTTACCAGGCCTCCTCCTGAGTCTTTATACTATTTGCAGATAGGATAAAGACTCCGGAGCTAAAATAGGTCTGGTAACCAGGCTAGGAAATTTACAAATGGTATATGTATGGTACATGTACACATTCAAAGTCGGCATTTCTTTTTCTCTACAAGAAAGAGTGTACCTGCTTGACCTGAACAACCCTCTCTTTGCTGGTTTATACAATCACTGTATAGTTTAACTTTCTGCACGGTGGGTAGCAATCACAGACATACCTGCACTTGTTTGTATGTCGTAACTAAATGGTAAAGTGTGAACTTCATCTCAGAATGATGAAGATAGTGTTCTAGGTTTGGTGTTCAGAATGGTAGATAACAGTTATAGGGTGTTGTTCAAGAAAGAGCTCAATCTTTGACTTCTGCATTTAGTGGAGAATGTTTTAATTCGTTAAAGATACTTGGTGTTCTGTTAATGACATTAAATCACATTTTGTTCTGGCCTCCAAGGAAACAAGTTGCTGTAACTTCAATATTTTTGTTTTTATCGATAGAGGAACATGTCTATGAGTCTGACAATGTGCAGAAACTAAGAAAAAATCTTTTCAGTATCCTTTATTTTCTGTACATGTTCAGTGTTCAATGCTTCAGTGAACAGCCTTTCTTTTAGTGATTTAAAGTAGTTATGGTTGTTCATATTGGAATCTATGACATGCACACTTTGCATTCGCTATTCAGGTCTGTACATGTGTGTGTTTGTACATGTAGTTAGCTTCTCTTAGCTTCCATTGAAACCAAAGTTCTGTATCCTGACATCTCACATGACACAGTGTATATCTACTACTTACAATCAGGGTTAATATTCTATAATTGTATTAGTTACCAATACTTGTTGCATCAATCAGAATTCTGGGGCTTGGCTTCCATACATTTTTACTAGCAGCACAATACTAGTAGTTAGACTGAACTGCAACATTCTTGGATAAAAGTTGGACCAGATTTTCCCATGCAGCAGTTAAACTTGTGTAACTAAAGAGTGTAAGAGGTAGTATTGCTTGCTTTGAGGTAACTTGTAAGCTTTTTTATGCACTGTAAGAATGTGTATTATTAGCCCAGTAACGTCTTTTGGTTGTGTCAATGTTCAATCAAGAGGCACATGTGGAATTTCAGATGGTATTATGGATATTCTGCTTTTACTAACCCCACTTCACAAAGCTGTGTACAACACTGATGAAAACAATAAAAATCTAATTTTTGAAGCTCTTTGTATCCTGGAGTTTTTGACAAAAGTGAGCTGTTTCATACTTGATGCAGACAAAGATTACTAGTATTTTATTTTTTGATTTGTCCTTGCATTTAAGAATGGCACAATCATGAGAAATGTAAGCCCTGGTCTTACATTTGTTTGGAAGTTAGCTGGTAGTGGTTTTCTTTAAGTTTATTTCTTTAACTTTACCATGGTAAATGAACAGGACATCACATCAGTTTACAAGCTGTAAAAGTATAACGAATCTTGTCCTTTCTGCACAACATTTCTTGCTTACTAGGTGGCGCTGTTGAGCAGTCACGTTCCAGAGTTCTAACTCTTCAGGAACCTGTAGTACTAGTAACCTGATGACAAGTACAAGTAGTGTTACTGAGTTTGTGCCAGTAGCTCTTCGGATTAGTCACAAAGTGTACGGTGCTTAGTACAGATAATACATACAGTATTTCTTACCTCATTGCATTTTCTCATATAACGTCCTTGCTCTCTTCTTACGTATTGTGAACTTCGACTACTTTTGTAGAAACATGGCAATAAGGCATCAGTGAAAGTGTCATGAACACGACACCTCTTTAGGCTCATTGACAGGTGTACAGCTCTTATGATTACTCCATGTTTCAAGTTATTGCACCTGTATACACTATACAACTGAAAAGTAATGTTATTCTGGCAGTTTGAAGGAACATTTTTTCGGTACTGACAGTTGTTTTTGTACGCACTTGTAAGCATGAGTGAGTGAGTGAGTGTAAGTAACATTTCAAGTTAATGCACCTGTATACACTATACAAGTGAAAAGTAATGTGTTTTGGTCGCCCTTGGTCAGTTTCATTTTTCTCTTTTTTTTTCGATACTGACAGTTTTTGTATGTACTTGTAAGCATGAGTGACTGAATGAAAGTATACGCCCCCCCCCCCACCACACACACAACTAAAGAGTCCTTGCCGCATTGCGTCAGCCAATCAGGGGAGCGCAATCCGAAGCGTCCCCTGGCTTCATTTACTACGCACAACAGCAGCTGTTTTCTGTTGACAGGATCAAATTACCGCTCCGGCGCTCAGGTGAAAATACACCTGCGTTCCATCGCAAAGATGGACACCTCACTACGGACGGTGTTTCTACTGCTGACGGCGACGTTAGCTGCGTCAGTGGAGGGGAGGATTGACGTTCTAGACGACCACATCAACGTTGGTACACCGCTGGTCCAGGTGAGGAGAACGCCACTGTTTACGTTAAGGTTCCTCCCCTTTGTCGTCTGTTTGTTTGCCCGTGCGTGTTGGGCATATTTACGCAGATCTCATTGAAGTGTAGATTTTTTGTCGTGTTTGTGGTTGAAGAATTATATTCCTGAGCAGAAACAAAATGTCGGCCCTGCATCCGGTGATGTTCGTGACGTTTTAAAACCGCCGGAAAACAGAATTAGAACGCCCAGCTTTAGCTCCTTAGCAAGACCATTCTTGTTGACCTAGAAAAGGATCTTGCTGACCAATTTGAGCTCTCCCCTGGTTTAGAATGCATCCCGCAGACGGAAGGAACACCGCACCACTAATAATCAAGTGCAGAGGTCAATGTCGTCACAAACCTTGGCGACCAGTGTTGAATGTTAATCATTTATGCCGATCAGATCTGAGTAAAGTCTACCAGCATCTCGTCGTGCTAACAGAAAAGTTTGGCCCTAGGCTGTAAAACCCATTACTGAAGCAGTACTACTGACTGCCCACTGTGAGGCCGTTCTATTGTCCATGGCATAATTACGTGAAAGGGTTTCAAGTCATTTGAGGAGTGAAAACAGTCAGAAATGTAACAGAATTCTTAAAGCGATATTTCTCCTAAAAGACTATAATGTTTCTGGCTGTAATGTACCGTGTACATGTAGTTCAGTGGTAGAGAGCATTGCATGGCCGAGCGGCGAATACAAATGACCAGCCTTGGTGTGTTGGCCCGATTGATCAATCATTTTAACCTGCACAGATAGTCTATTCAACCTTCATTTCTATTTACACACCAAATCAGTGTGCCTGTATTTCTTGTACGTAGGAGATTCATTGCTTGTACACAGGTACAATGACTTCGGCTAGGCAGATATATTGTACGTAGCAGATATGTTTCACCTTTCTGACAGTCGCTTTATAGGAAGCTTAAGTACCAGGTGTATGGGGACGCTTTACTGTATTTAGGTCACCACACAAAAAGAATACAGGTAATTCCCAAGGCTGTATATCACCTGCCAGTCATTCGATCAAACAGGTACAGATGTATGTATGGCACTGCTTTCGTCTTATACATTATTCATGTTAAGAACTTAGGCCACAGCAAGTAAATTTTATGGATGACATCCTCCTCAGACACCAAACCTAATGTGATAGGGCGAAAAAAAAAACAACGCGGGCCAAAAAACAAGATTCCTACACTTTCAAATTTTGACATCACAGACCTTCTTAAACAAGAAATGCTACCTATATTGTGCTATGCTTACTACCAACTATTGTGGCATCCATTTGTCACTGAAAAATATGTTTTCAATCAGTGTACAAATGGTTTTGATAAAGTGAACGTCACATATAAAAGGAATGAAATGCATCACTGCATCAAAGTAAAAGACAAAACAATACATCAGGCCTTGTCTTGCCTCCTCTTTTCATATTTATCTGCCATCCGCGGCATGGCAACAGACATCTTTGCCCATTTTCGGCATGTTGACCACTGTCAGAGGGCAACAAAAATTTTCCCCCCAAAATCAGGCGAAAATTAATGCGCGCGCTGATGTCATCCATAAAAAAGCTTGCTGTGGCCTTAGCCATTAGCGAGGACGTTAAAATGGATGTTGTGATTCGTTTCACCCACAGTCGATGTTTCGGCCCAACTCGATGATATTTTTTCATACATGTTTGACAATTAATTTCTACCTTTAATGACACGAATAAAGTGGCCTTACGTCCTATAACAATCAGGTATTCGACATGGTAGATAAACGCAGTGACGACGTCAGTTAAATAAATGATATATCTGTTCTTGTTACAGACGCTGACGGAACTAGTCAAAAATATATTGTTTCACTGTTTAAAGCTGAATGCTCATTGAGTAATATATAAAAAGTCACTTATGTACTTGAACTTTATACTTTGTACAGTACACCTGTGTACTTGACCTTTATACTTAACTTTATACTTTGAACTTGAACAATAAAGTTGAAAAAAAATGTTACAGACGCTGACTGAAAATGTGGAGGCACAGAAGGACCGGTTTGTTCAGGAGTTATCTAGTAAGTGGATCGTTTGGTTACAATGAAATTTTTTCAACAAATAAAAATAATAATAATCTGAATATCAACGTTCTTTTTGTTCATTTTTCTAACAAACCACCTACATGTGTTGTGCTCACACTGATATAAACTCTATTTGTGTGCTGTAAATTTGTGTAATTCAATATCTCGTTATTTTTTTCGGTTAGTGTTATGTTTGTTTGCATATTGTTAATAACCAGCTCTGTAATGTTCATTCCGCTGCCAGACATGGTGACTGTCCAGTGCCACAGGAACAGTATGAACGTGGTCATCATGATGTCCCCTCTTACAGGTCAGTCTTGTGTCTCATGGGAATTCAATAAAATTTCGTGTAGCCGAAGCACGAAACGAGCCCGTCTCGTAAGGCCATGCTGATTTGATTATATGGATGACATCCGCGCGCATGAATTTTTGGCTGTTTCCAAAAAAAGAAAAGTTTATAACCATATTGTAAATCGTACAAAACAGTTGCAAAATGAGCAAATATATACCGTAAGTTACCAAAAAAAATATTTGAAAACGATACGAATGTCTTGGAGTGCCAATTAATCAAACAAAATAGACGGAAATGTAAAGAAATGAATTTGAAGAGTAGATTATTCGCCATACCATACTGTGGGTCATTTGTTCAACCTTCATGGCCACGTACTACACGTAGATTTCATAATGAAAGCAACTTTTTTTTTGCAAAACTTTTTTTTTATTCGCACGCTCGCATCAGTTTTGGGGTTCCCAGAGGATTTATGTCATCCATATAATCAAATCAACATGGCCTAAACGGTCAATGACATATCGCGGAGCGACAAACTTCAAGTGTATTATAGAACGCTTTGTCCACACTGTCGTGATGTTTCGTGGTGGCTTATGGACTAGGCTTTTTGACCCGGGTTCAAATAAGAGCTTGTGATTTTTCTTTTTCCACTAACATCTCAGCTATTCTTCACGTCATACAATTTCAATTGTAATGTTTCCTTTCATACGTTGTGAATGTCTTTGCCTCTCGAAGAAGTCATATGGCAACGACCGTTTACGAGAAGGAAACGCACTATCACAGAGCACCAAGTTAACGTTTTGATACGGATTCATTTTAGCAACACATCATGAGCGACTGCATGGACCATATTCACGTATACTATCATAAAAGTTCATCTTTGTTGGTAGTTACATGTTTAGAGTTAAAACGTTTGGTCCAACACAAAAAGTTCTCTCACCTAGAGCTTTTGACCAGTCACTCTGGTCTTCCTCAGTAGACTGACCCAGTGAGGCTTGTCACGTGGCTTCTTTGAAGTGTAAATATACACGTATATTTACATACAGTTTGTGGAATTTTGTGATGACGTTGCAGAAAACTACAACTTTGAGTTCAGGGACGCCTCCTGCCGGGCCGTGCGGGATGTGCACCACTTCCTGCTGCAGACGCGTCATGACGAGTGCGGGACGCGGAAGGAGATCCGGTCTGCCGAGCACGTCAAGTACAGCAACGAACTACAGGCCTACTCAACTACAGACACGGCAAGGCTCAACAACGCAGGTGACAGACTGTGCATGATGTAACTTTGAAACTTTGAAACTTTATTTTCAATACAAACATGGCAGACAAAGTCTGAATTGCGTTGGTATTTACAAACCATTGAGCTCGTTTTATATTAGAATACACAAGCTGTGGGTATTTACAGTTTTAAAAGTAAATTCTTAATTTCTATATAAAACAAATTGGCATCTCTTAAAGATAAAAAGATTAATTAAAAACTCGTAGTTAGGCGTAGATTGACAACAAGATAGGTGCAGGGTAAACTTTAGATTCGAAATTCAGAAAGTTTGTTCCGAGTACAGTTCAGAGTTCACTGTCCCTTGTTGAGAAGGGACAACATGACTAATAAACTGGTGGACGTACAAAGTACTAAGTACCTAATGCCAGCTCAAACAAGAATAAGAAATAGTCGTGCCTTCAAGTATCAGAGTTATCAACCAAGGATTGAGGTGTTCAAAAACTTATTTTTTCCTAGAGCTATCGCAGAGTGAAACTCGCTGTCACCAAGTACAGTGTGGGCATTCTCACTTGATAGCTATAAACAATGTTTTAGATGTTAGAAGGCTAGATGTAACAAGTCGGTGTAATATAACAAGCTGCCGCCGCGCCGCGTGCCTGCGAAGCTGGTGTGTTACGCCGATCGAAGGGGCGGTTATACCCGCTATATAGATAAAGATACAGACAGGGTTGTATTCGTGAGTTTTCAGTTGATAAATTTGATGTGTAAGGTCCTAGTCTTAGTGCCATCTTTAATAGTAGCCATCATGATCAGTACTTAATCATTGACATCTTCTTTTTGTCTGTGTGTCCAGGGCCGCTTCAGATCACCAGAACTCCTGACTGGACCGTGAACATCCGTGTCGAGTGTTACTACAACATGAGTCAGGTAGGGAACGATTCTGGGTGTAGCCTGGTTGCCAGACTGTAATACATGTACCAGAGGCAGTATACAGGGGCGTGGGTCATAAGGCGTAACCGTAGAGTGTTCGGCTCAGACACAAGAGGTCACGGGTTCGAATCCTGCCCGATACCACCGATCTTGTGCCCTTGGGAAAGGCACTCTACACGACTATCATCACTTCACTCAGGTGTAAATGGGTACCTAGCCTCGGTTAGGGCATGTAGGGACGGCCCTCGGATAGGACGTTAAATGGAGGTCCCGTGTTTGGGAGAGCCACACCCCACGCACGTTAAAGTTCACCACAGTTATCGAAAGGATTAGGGGACATTACAGTCCTATGGCCGCGCCTGGGGTCGTATTGAGGTCACCTGAGTTAGCACCGAATGGCAGCCGCTCCAGACCCTTGCGATTATGCCCCAATAATTGTAAGCTCGTCACAACTCAGCCCTTGACTGCGAAGAGAGTGTACCCGACCCACCCAATACCAATACCAATACATGTACAGGCTAGCTTCTCTGCTCCGAAAATGTTTCCATACACATATGTACACACCCTCAAAACGCCAGAAAGTCTAATCGGCCGCCGTACTGTATCCTGTAAGAGAGGTAGACATTCATATGTGAGATTTTTCAAGCATCATCACATTTGATCTGCATTGCTATACATGTATGTCCGATCAAATATTGCCACTCACAACAAAGAAGTGTTATTCTTGTCATAATTTAATATAGCCGAACGTCAATCGAACATATTTGCTGTGAGTGTCAATATTTGGTCGGATGACCTTACGGGTCGGAAATACATGTAATATGTACATATTAACATATGTTCCACTCTGAGAAAACAAGTTTGATAGACAGGTGATATTGATTATTGAACTATATTTACATCCAAGACAGTATGAAAGCCTTTGCCAAGTGTACTATTGATTTGGCGGGTAATGGCTCGATAGAACCTTGCACTCATTCCGCTTTTGGTCACAAGGGTCTGGACTCAAAGTCTTCTGGATGACAAAAACAATCTGAATTAACTTCTTGAAAATATCAGATGATGCCATCTTAGTTTAGCTGAAATGATACACGAAGACACGGAGCTGAGTTTTTAAGAGAAGTCTCTACGCAGACAATAATATATAGTGAAAATAATATATACTGAAAAAAGGCCCAAAAATGCAACACGCGGATGTGTATTATGATTCTACACTTCCTAGGTGACAATTTATGCTGCTAAACGTTCTGTATGTTCTGTGTGTGTGTCTGTGTGTTTGTCTGTGTGTGTCTGTCTGTCTGTCTGTGTGTGTGTGTGTCTGTGTGTCTCTGTGTGTGTATGTGTCTGTGTGTGTGTCTGTGTGTGAATGTGCGTGCGAAGGGCAATAAAATTCATGTCCAAATCTTGAAAGCTAAGTGATCTTGAAGTTTGAAAAATAATTGAACATACAAAATATAACAAGCAACAAATCCTTTTATTGGGCAAGTTGTCTTGTTTTTGGAATATCCGCCTGCGTTGTAAAGTGGCTCTATGATAGGCCAGTATTCTTGGCGCGCTCCTAAGCCCAGGAGGTGTAGCGGAACACAATGACGTCGTCATTGGCGTGCACCAAGATCAAATCCACACCTGCAAAAACAAGTTGAAGTCTATAAGTGACAAAGGAAACAAAAACAGTACGTACTGAAGATACAAGAACATTTATCACTGTCACCACGATATGGTGACGGCCCACCCAATTTTTTTTTCAATTTAATTTCCATGCTACCACCAACGCAGACAAACGCATGAACGGACAATATAACGTTCTCATTTCCTTGAGTTAAGTGAGAAAAGCCGTCTAAAGTGCCTTTCCCAAGGGCACAAGATCTGTGGCATGGCAGGATTCGAACCCAAGCCCTCTCGGGCCAAACGTGCCGCAAGAAATTTGACATGGTCTCAATACCAGTCTAGGCCCGTCAGTACTTACCACGGTCAAAAGCCTCACCCCAGCCGTTCTCAAAACGCCAGTAGGTCTTAGAGTGACTGCTACCGGCGAGACCGTTGATAGAGTCGATGAAGTGGCCGGCGTACTCAGGGAAGTAGGTAGCACGGAACCTGCAGAACAGACAAGTAACGTTACAGGTACATGTCGCTACAGGCACAACTGAGCTACATGTATCCGCGCTTAATTTTGGCTTTAGAGCAAATAACCTTCGCGAAGAATGTTATGTTTTCCATACCGTTTGTATGTGTGTGTGTGTGTGTGTGTGTGTGTGTGTGTGTGTGTGTGTGTGGTTTATAGCGCACAATAAGATAAGAAGCTTTGGATGGATTGTCATGAAACTTGGTAGGTGGGTAGGTCTTGATGAGACCTAGAGATGATTAGATTTTTGCATGGGTCCCCTGGTGGTTTGTTATGGTACAGCAGCAGAACTTCCTGTTTTGATATCTCACGATCAAGACATGATTGGATCGCGAATTTTGGATGGGGAAGAAGGGACGAAAAGGGAATAAAAACAATAGAAATTGGTAAGGGTCGCATGCAAAATGCATGGCCGGCTAACTCCCTTGCTTTACTATCCCAGCCCCTTTATTTTGGCCAATATCTACCATTTTTTCGGCGATCCGCAGTGCCTGGTAGAGGCTAGTAAATTTGCTTACGTGAAGTTGTCGAACTGCCTGGTGGCCGCCACCATCGTTTGGAAGACTGATTTTCGCACAGGAACGGACACCTGGTACTCGCAAGACACAAAGTTCGGGTCCAGGCTGTTCTCTACCCTCAGGGTAACGGTTGTCCTACGGCCGCTGTCTAGAGGATCTAGGAAAAGGCATGTGATATCATGCAAGATCTCAACTGACTCGGCATATACGTGAAAATTAATGAGAATAAAACTGTTCTCCAACTCACTCTACTCACCGGAATTTTTGACCGAATCGTTCGGTTTAAGTTTAATTCCCATTAATTTACCAGCTCAGATACACTTTCATGAACCATGCAGCGGTCGGACAGTAGGCCCAAAATCATCGTAGTTTTCGTAGGGAAACTTTGTGGTAGAAAGTACGAAGGACCAAAACGACAATAATTGTGCTCAACGTAGGAACTGAATTCAACAGAGAAGGGACTAATTTCAACAGAGAATGAGCTAAATTCAACAGCGTGTGCTCAGCGAACGCACTGTGCTCAGCGAACGCGCTGTGCTCAACGAAGAAAGTTCACCGTGGCAGATTTAAAAATGTGGATCGTTGCAACTTACCGAAGACCTCCAGACACTCGATACGGTCCTGATGGTCCTCCAGCGCCTGTGGAACCCCCACACTGCCCTGTGCGTCGCGCCAAGAGGTGGCCGCCAGCAAGAAAACCGCGAGGATAGAAAACTTGGACATCGTCGTCCGACTCAAGAGTGTTGCGAGTGTGAACAAGTCGGGGAAGATTTTTGAAGCCCGTTTCTTTGTGCATAACTTATATATGAAAAGTCAAGCCCCGCCCAGTTAAACGACGGCACAGTTTCCCCTAGTTTCATTTGGAAGAAAACCGAAGTTGGTCAGTGGATATGTCCAGTATGATATCTCCGAATGTCTTTAATATTTGCCTAAGCTTTCAGGTGGTAAGCCTGCTTCTAGATTCTCCAAGGTTATTCCCAATATGTACCGTATAGTTATCGTAATTACCAGCTTAAAAGATAATATGATGCTTGTTGTTATCTTCACGATAAAAACTTTCTCATTAAAAATTGGTTGACGTGTTATAGTCTATAAAAAGATCCGACGTAATATACGGTATTCAGAGGGAAAATCAATGCCGTCGAGGTCATTGCTAGCTTCCTCAACAGACTTACGACTGGGGCTTTTTGCTTACAATGTATTTTGCCTTCGTCAGAAGGTCTATGGAATCATTTGGTCTTAGTGTGGATGACTGTGCGGAATAACTCTTGAAGGCATGGTTCGACGCCCATGACTTTTGGCAGGCAGGTGACCGTTGTTGAGACCGAAGTCAAGTGCAAGTATGGGCTTCGTGGGGGGTCCGTACGTCACTGCAGTGGACCTTTTCTGTTTGTCGCTTGTGAGCAGGATAACTCGAGTATATATATATACTAGTAAATAGATGTTCATGATTTTTGGTAGGCAAGCTACCATTCTAGAGGCTAAGGTCAAGTTCGAAACGGGCCTCGTGGGGGGTCCCTACGTCGCTGCAGTGGACCTTTTGTGTTAGATATATAACGATCTTCCCCCACCAACCTCTGCTTGGATTCAGATGGGGAATAGCTGGTCCCCCACATCTGGGATCAGTTGCTTACAATTGAGGGGTTGTCCTATAACTACTGTGGGAGGAGGAAAAGTTAGACATGCGCCAGGTCATTTTCCTTAGGCCAGACCAAGTAATTTTTGATTACTAGATTAAAAGCACTTATTAGAGTAATTTCTAGAGCACTTAAATTCTTAAATTCATATTTAAGTAATGATTCTGAAAAAAAAGAAAAAAGACACTCTTGTATATGTAGGGCACTCTTTATTGCTTTCTTAGCTTTAATGTTTTCTTTATTTATTTCTTTTAATTAATCAAGAACTCATTCAGAAATGATTTCTGCTGTAATTATAACAGCTGTAATTACTCCACAGAAAGTGGACTGTAATCAAATCTACGTATCTACTGACTCAGGTCCAATCATGCTTATGAACTTTATAATACTACTGATGGACCAGATTTAATGTGTGGAGTGCCCTGATAGGCCAGATTTAATGTGTGGAGTGCCCTGATATATAGGCCAGGTTTAATGTGTGGAGTGCCCTGATAGGCCAGATTTAATGTGTGGAGTGCCCTGATATATAGGCCAGATTTAATGTGTGGAGTGCCCTGATATATAGGCCAGATTTAATGTGTGGAGTGCCCTGATATATAGGCCAGATTTAATGTGTGGAGTGCCCTGATAGGCCGTTGATGGCGGGGCGCTCCTAAGGATGCCCTGTAGCCCACGAGGCGAAGCGGAACACAATGACGTCGTCATTGGCGTGCACCGAGATCAAGTCCACACCTGCAAAAACACGTTAAATTCACAGTCTATAAATGCAGGAGTTACAATGCTAAGCCGGGGCCCAGGCCTGCCGGGGCCCGGCCGGGCTGTTTGAATGAACGAGAAATAAGAAAATGTCATCAAGAATATGCACAAATTCTGCGTATCATTATGATTATCTTTCAAACATCTTTTGTGCTTTGCTGTCTTTTTTTATCATACTTTTCGTTCCCACTAACTGCCCGGCCGGGCCCCGGCTTGGAAGTGTGGCCCTTGCATATGTGACAAATTGAACAATAGTGAGAAGTTGATTGCAAGTTCGTACCTGGGGGCTAATTGCAAATTACAAACACTGAGAAGAACAATGGAACAGAGTATGAAATTACTAAAATCTACATGATGAAAGCTATAACTATGCCTAAAACAATAGCGGTGTGAACTGAATACTGATATAAGAATGCAGAACGGCCAACATTGCTTGAATTTGTCACGGTTTACATGCAATATTCTACGCATGCCAACACCAGTACTGTTTTCTTACCGCGGTCGAAAGCCACGCCCTTGCCGTTCTCAAAACTCCAGAAGGTCTTATCGTCGGTGTTACCGGCGAGACCATTGATAGAGTTGATGAAGTGGCCGCCGTACTCAGAGAAGTAGGTAGCTCCGAACCTGCAGAAAGGACACAAGTACTTGTCGATACAGGTACGGTCTGCGGTATCCGCGTTGAATCTTGATCAATCTTGGCTTCAGAGCTAATACATGTACTAGTACTGCCCCCTACCTGTGGTCAGCAACATGACAGGCAACTCCGCAACTCTGTACTACCAACAACTTGAACTAAACAAGTGCAGTCCCGACAATGTCCAAACTAACCAATGAACTGTAGAACTTTTCAATCTATTCAGCAAACAGGACAGTCAGATTATATCACACTTGGCAGCACCAGATTCAATCGAAAAAAAATATTGAATATTGTTTTTCAATTTGACAATTTGTATTTTTCAGTCAGTATGCACTTTTGAATTGGACGCTTAGCTATGTTGACATTTTAATATCAACATTACTAGTAGTACGACGATACCACTCGCTTAAAAAAGCATCTGTTGTGACACAATTTAGTGACTATATAAAAATACCTGGTCTCGATGCCAAAGTGTTTGAACAAAAAAAATTCCGAAGGCTTAAAAAACGTTTTCAAACATTGCATAGAAATTCCAAATATTCAACGTAATTATGATATTTTATACATCCAACGCATATATAGAAATGCCGAGTACAAGTTTTAATGCAATGTGTCTATATATGTATATATGATGTGCCCATGTATCCTGTGTAAACAAGCCTGACATTTTGGGCCTAGAGCCGCAACCAGGATGTCGTTTATTCTACTTCTACTTTTACTACTACTACTACTTCTACTACTACTTCTACACATACTACTTGAGTCTTGTCATTTACTAGTACTACGTAATGTAGAAGTTGTTAGAGTTGAGACGCACGATGTTTGGGGGAGGGGGGTGGTACGTACGGAATGGGTTCGCGAGGAGGTGAGTTCACGAGAATAGCGTCTTCGTGAAAACCGTGAACTTAAAGATTTCGTAATCAAAAATGGACTTACAGTACTACTACAACTACTACTACCGTGACTACTACTACTACTACTTTGCGGGGTATAAGACATTACACAGCTTGTAGCTTGTAACGTGCAACTGAAAGCTACATTTGACGGGGTTACATTGGTGTAAAATTGCCTACGTGAAGTCATCGAACTCCTTGGTGGCCGCCACCATCATTTGGAAGACTGAGTTTCCCACAGGAACGGACACCTGGTACTCGGCAGACTCAAAGTCCGGGTCCAGGCTGTTCTCTATCTTCAGGGTAACGGTTGCCAGGCCGCTCCCTGTTACAGAGAGGAGTGTGATATCATGTAAGATCTCAGGACTCAATACATATTAGCCAAAATTACACTCTTCTGAACTTGGATATGCAAGTGGACAAATATTATGCATGCGCATTCGATTTGCCTTTTGCAAGAATCAAAATAACGAGTCCATACTTCTTGACAGAAAGCTGGTGTGTTACGCCGAAGGACGGTTATACCGGCTATACTGATACACAGAAAAGCCTTAGCCACAACCCGCCGTACGTGCTTTATGTCCGTACGTTTTTAGGAGGCTACGTAGGCTACGTTTTTTCTGAAAACGTGGGGAGGGAGTGGCGTCGACGCACGTCACTCGCACGGTTGCGCAAGGTGTAAAAGTGTGGTCTGCACGCCACGTCTGGCCGTAAGCGGTTGCGTGCATCGTACGTTGCGCAAGTGGTAAGTGAGTTGTACGTGCTTACAACGTACGATCTCTGTGCGATTGCCACTTTACCGTAAGGAGGCCGTACTCATGAGCACACGTGCTTCTTACGTACGGTACGCACGGGGCACGCGCGTCGCCTATACTCGCACGCACGGGTACCGGGTGGTGAATCCGCAGACCGTACGTAGAAAACGTTTTACATGCACTTAAAGTTCTACGGCGTGTCTGCGTGCTCCCATAACCGTAGGATTCCGTACGGAGGTGGTACTCACCACGCACGGATGCCCTACGTTTGCCCACGTTTTTACACGTAGACAGCACGCAGAAGCACGTACGGCGGGTTGTGACCAAGGCTAAATGTAGTGCTTCTCCGTGGATAATGTTCAGTGGAATCGTCCTCAGGGCTTTAAGTTTGTAATTAAGCAATGATGTATGATTCTGACTCTGTATTGACAGCTAGGATCAAACAGGTTAGATCTAATGTTGACCTGATTATAATAACAATGGGCTGTTGTTGAGAGAGAATTTGCAGGTATTTATAGAACGGATATGTCACGACATCCAGGGTGTGCCACACGAACATGGACGCGCGGTGGCGGCGGGCTTGTTTACACGCTCAAAAATTCTGTCCCACGACATACGCCGCGCGTCGTTCGACGCAGGACAAATGATATTTTTGCCCCGCATAAATTGACCCCATGTCCATAGCGAGAAATAACATATATCGTATCGTTGTACAGGACACGTGGCACGGGCTACCTCAATGATAGCCTCCGTAGCAGGCTCATAGAACTGGGGGCTTGGTGGTTTTCGGTTGTTTTCTGATTAGCCCAGTTCAAAAAAGAGGGTAATTCAACCAGGCGGGCAATATTGTCTATATGCAATCAGCAAATAGCACATAAAAGATCCCAAAGACCCTGAAGACCCCCAAAACCCCTAGTTTTTGGCATGCTGTGGAGGCTACCTCAATGAGGAAATTATGCATAGACTAGCTGATTTCTCAGAAGGTGTGCATACTGCTGACACAAGGACAGCCTCACAAGCGTCTGTGTCCGTTTCATTTTTAAGATATCGGGCCGAAACTTCTGCTGACAATACTTCCTCATTGGTATAGATGGTCGGGTTTTTGCTACGTAAATGTACCACAGACATGCTTAACAAACGTGTTAAAAAAACTGACGAAGTAGTGTGAAACGAGTCCTTATCAGTTTTCTTTTTTTGCTTTTGTTCGTATTATCAAAGTAAACATTTCCCCTCTTCCTAGGTTCCCACCCATTTTCCGACAGATATCCTTGCAGGAATAGAAGTACATGATCACTGTGTCCCCAGCTGCAGCCGCCGACGTTTCCCTAGACCAGGAACCGGGCGCCCTCACGGTAGACTACTATATGCGCCCCGATTTTACCCCTTCGTAGGCAAGTAAATGGTGACCGAACCCTCTGGTACCTGTCTTTGACAACTTCATGGGTGGGCAGTAGGCCCAAAATCATCGAGGGGAAACGTTGTGGTGCACATAAAATTGAGAGGATGTAGAAAGTCCCACCGTGGCAGACTAAAACGTGTGAATCGTCGACACTTACCGAAAATCTGGGTCTCCAGTAGCGCGACACGTTCCAGGAGGTCGTCCAGCGCCTGTGGAACCCCCTCATTGTCCTGCCCCTGGACTTCGCGGCAAAGGGTGGCCGCCAGCAAGAACACCACGACGATCGAAAACTTCGACATCTTTGTCCGACGCAAGAGTGTTGCGAGTGTGAACAAGTCGGGGAAGATTTTTGGAGCCCGTTTCTGTGTACGTCATTTATATACCAAATGTTAGGCCCCGCCTACTTAAACGACGGTACAGCTTTCCCTTAGGCGTAGCGTTTGAAAGAAAACTGAAGTTGGTCAGTGGATCTTTCCAGTATGATATCTCCGAATGTCTTGAATATTTGCCTCGGCTTTCAGGTGGTAAGCCTGCTTCTAGGTCCTTCAAGGCTCCACCCAGAATGTAGCGTCTGGTTGTGCTAATCGCCAGCTTTAAAATATGATATGATGTTAACTTCACTAAAAATTCTCTTTCTCATTAAAGATTGGTAGGCGTGTTATAGTCTATAAAAAGAAAGATGACATAATGTAGTCAGAATAAAAGTCATTGCCCTCGCAGGATAGCCTCCACAGCAGGCTCTACAACTGGGGCTTTTGGGACTTATAATGCAGTTTTTTGCTGATGGCTTTTCTCTGTACTCAGGGCCTCTTGTACTGCTACGGCTGGTCAGTAGAAGAGTCTGAGTACAGATAAAAGCCCTCACAAGAAAGTGCATTAAAAGCCCCAAAAGCCCCAGACGTAGAGCCTGCTGTGGAGTCTAGCCATGATCTCACTGAGAGGGTGACATTTATTTCGGGGCGGCATCTCTCACCGTGAGGTTAAACTGCTTTTCTTCTTGCTGCCGCCCGGAGTCTTACTTGTAACTTCAAACATTCCTTACACTTGAGTAAGGACACAATTTCTATGTGGCTAAGCTAGTTAGATAGGAATAACTGCGAAAACAGTCACTGTACATTTTCAGCTGTAAACAAGTGAATTGTCACACCTACACATACACCGACGTGTTTTTCAGAGTCATGACGTCACACACTTGGCCTGCTTCCAACCATTTGGTTGGTGGATGGCAAACACGTGATCGCACACAAAAACTACTTTGAAATCTGTAGGGTAGACTGTAACGTATAACAACCCTTAAGAAGACTACACTGACTTTGATTTTAAGAAAGATGAGAAGCTAGTGGTCGGTGGAGAGGGCTTAGCAAGGGACTGGAGGTGAACAGTTAACCAGAGCAGGTTATTAGACAGATCATTCGCACCAACAAACGGGTAGACACAAATAGAACCCACAAGATCCGTCAAGTCGGCACCACGATATCAAAAGATCACATCACATTTGATTTGCTTTGTTATATGCCCGACCATGTATTGACACAACAGAGATGTGCCATGCTTGTTCTAATATTGGGTATATATCAACATATGTTCAGCCTGTTATGATGTTCCACTCTGAGAAAAACAAGTTTGACAGGTACTGTTGATTGAGCAATATTCACAGTTACATATCAGTGATGCTAAGAACACCAGAACCTTAGTCATGTAACTTACTACAGTATGATAGCTACATGGCACAGGTGAAATCTGTGACACTGAGCTAAACGTTCTGTCTATCTGCATCAGTGGTCTGAATATGTTTGTGTGTGTTAGTTTTGAAGAGGTAGGAGTGGGGAGGGGCATAGAGGCCAATAACCCTACAATTGATTGACCAATTATTATTATTATTATTATGATGATGATGATCGCCAAGCAGATCTTGGGTGGATATTTTGGTGGCTGCAAAGTGCAAAGTCAGGGTCGATCAAATTGGCCATATAGTTACCAAATCTGGCAAATGGATACAGCCTGGCCATTTTTTTAAAATTCTGTCTTTGCAACCACTAAAAGATCTTTTTTTATTAATCATTCTTTTTATTAATTTTCACAAATATAAGATACACACACAGAAAAACTTATACTGAAGGGACATGTAAAACACAGAAAAAGGTAAATAAAACCAGAAAACAATGAATAATGGTCTAAAAGATCTTCTTGAAGATTAGGAATATGACACATTGGCCTGGTTTCATGGACCGCAGACATTCACTCTTGACACCCCCAAAACTGATACAAGCGATGAAGAAGAAAGAAGGACAAACGAAAGATGCCTATATGTCGACCTAGCTGCTAATGATTATCAAAGGTTGAAAAATAATTGAACACAGAACGTCGTATAGCAAGCAACACATTCTTTTATTAGGTAGGCTGTCTTGTTTCAGACTATCCGCCTGCATGTGTTGTCATAGTGCCTCCGTTTGGGTTGTACCAGGATAGGTCAACATTCGCGGGGCGCTCCTAAGGCTACACCAATTTAATTTGTTGGTTCTCGGATTTTTTAAGAAAAAATATGAAGCGACAGGGCGAAAAAATAAAAATAAAAACAGGTCTAGGCATCCTATTAAAACCCCCAATGCTTAGATATGAGCCATAAAGTCAACACAAAAGGATGGGTTAAAATTTAAACAATGAATTATGAACTTCTAATCAAACCAATGCATTGATAGATGGAAAAACTGTACCAACTAGGAAGAAAGGGACTTTCCTCAACTGTTAGGGGCATAATATGAGCATTGTTTAGTTGATTCAGAACAAGAATTTTTTTTGCGAATCAGAAAAATGAAGAGGCGAATCCGAGAACCAACAAATTAAATTGGTGTGGCCTAAGGATGGTCAGTCGTTGAATTATAGGTGGTGAAGCGGAACTTGATAGCGTCATCATAATGCACCTTGATCCAGTCCACTCCTGCAAAACACGTTAAAGTATATAAGTAACAAAATAAACAATAGCTATACGTACTTTAAAAGTAACAATGGAGAAAAGTCAACATTGCCCCAAGGAATTTGAAAGCTACCCTTTTCGGCAATAAGAAAAACTGATAGGCTTTGTTACTGACATTGATAAGCTGCCAGACGATATTCTAGAGCACTTATTTTTAAGAGCTAGAGGTGTTACTTTCTTCAGCTCATAACATTCAATTATTGCTTTACAAATATTTTTGTCAGATTCCAATATTTCAACATGCCAGTCTTATCTGTCTTTGGAAATATTTGGTCACTTCTTCATCATTTAATTACTATGTAGACGTATTCTACTATTACTATGTGCTTTGCTTGTTCTATGCATTATCACAGTATTGTCTCATATGTCGGCAGTGGCATAAAATATATTGAAAAGTTTATTGCAAATTCGTGCCCGGAGGCTAATTGCAAATAACAAGACATAAAAGGACAATGAAACAGAGTACAAAATAACCGAAATCTACATGATGAAAGGTAGCTGTCTAGAACTATAACCATGTCTAAAACTATGTCTGAAGTGTTTGACTTCTCTTCTGTAAACCATGGAAGACGTAATGTTCCACCTTTTCCAAAATTTGTGGGTTTTGGGAAGTTAAAAGAAGAATAGTTTTTTCTTGGTCTGTAGTAAGTTTAGAGAAATCGGGATGAATTGTAAAATAAGTCTACCTTCATTGTGCCGTCACCATGTTTTGTCAGTAAATGTCAGTGAAAAAAGGAATTCAGTAAATGTCAGTGAAAAAAGGAATGCCACACCAGTCAATACTATTTGCTTACCGCGGTCAAAAGGCACACCGTTGCGGTTCTCAAAACTCCAGTAGGTCTTATCAGCGGTGCTCCCGGCGAGGCCGTTGATGGAGTTGATGAAGTGGCCCAACTTATGAAATGTGGTAAATTCGAACCTGCAAAAGACACAAGTATGTGTCACCACGGGTACCACTGAGCCATGTGTAAAGTTAACCGCGCTACATGTAATTTCAATTGCCATATCACAATCACAAGAAAACAACAGTATCAGAGTAATATTCGTCACAGTTCTGCAGGATATATACAGGTTTAAAAAGAATCGTTACGACTTAGCATGGCTGCTTTTGTTAGTAGTTAAATTACTGATTAAGACAAAAAATCTTCTGTACAAAGAGCTACGTTTTAAGGGTGTGTATGAGTGGAAAGTCGCCTACGTGAAGTCGTCGAACTGCTTTTTGGCCTCCTGCATCATTTCAAAGACATCAATTCCCACATTGATGGAAACGTTGTACTCGCGAAGCTCACGGTCCACCACGCCGTAGTCTATGATCAGGTCAACGTATGTCTTCTTGCTGCCTGTTACAGAAATGTATGTAATGTCTTCTCACTCACGAGTCAATATTGTGGGGTCGTGCGGCGTAACGACAGAGTGTTCGGCTCGGAACCAAGAGGTCCCGAGTTCGAATCCTGCTATGCCACGCCACCGATCTCATGCCCTCGGAAAGGCACTTTATACGACTTTCATTACTTTACTCGGGTGAAAATGGGTACTACGTATGCCTGTTGTCCATGTGTTTGTCTGCGCTGGCTAAATGGAAAAAAAATCGAGTGTGCCGTCGCCATGTGTTGTGATAGATTTTTAAATAGAAAAAAAAACCCATTATAGTCAACACTGTTATATACCATTCACTAATAAACTAAAACTTAGATCTACATGTGAACACTAGAATCTCATACATGTGCATTTACATTTGTCTTTCAAGGTTTAAAATAATGCGTGTACATTTGGCACATTCACAAAATCAGACAGGGCGTTGACTCGATCCCGTTCAGTAGAATCGCCCTGAGGGCTTTATGGTGGATGGTTCTGACTCGCTGTTGACAGCTAGAACCAAAGATGGTGGTCAGATCTGGCGTTGGCATAATCATGATAATAATGGGCTGGTGTTGAGGGACAATCAGAATTTGAAGACTACAGTTATAGAACGGTGCATGTCCACAGAAAAATAACAAATGCCTTCTTTCGAATTAATATTCTTAAGTAGGGGATATTTGGTGGATTACCTCGATTATTAGAAAATCATAATCAAGTTATGACGTTGACCTACATTACAGGCCTACACCACAGCCACTCCACCAAGCCGAGCCGAAAACATAGCCTTCTAACGAAGGCAATAAGTACTAGTATGCTATGTTTCGGTGACATGGTGACAGCACACTCAAGTTATATCAACTTATTTTATGCCGAAACCAATACGAATACAGGACAAGACAAGACAATACCCATTTTCACTTTAGTTAAGAGAGGAAAGTCGTGTAAAGTGCCTTTCCCAAGGGCACAAGATTGGTGGCATGTCAGGACTCGAACCCGGGACCTCTTGGTTCCGAGTCGAGCACTCTGCCGCTACGACACACGACCTGGTCGACATTGTGCTTGTCAGTCCGACAGCGACCGCCATGGACAGCTTGTTGCATGTTGACCATGCATCTGGGCGGTTTAAACAAAAACCATCACGGGGAAACGTTCCTTTTTTCTATTCGAACATTTATTACAAGACATGGCGACGACACACTCAATTTTTTTCAACTTATATTTATGCCGCCACCAACGTAGACGAACGCATGAACGGACAACAACCACAACAGACATACTCATTTTCACATGTACAAAGTGAGGAAATTCGTGCCTTTCCCAGGGGCACAAGATCGTTGGCATGGCAGGATTCGAACTCGGGACCTCTTGGTACGGACTCGAACGGGGAAACGTTGTGGTGAACCAAAACGTGAGACAGGAGAAATTTGGTCCCTACTCACCGAAAACCGCGGTCTCCAGACGCTCGATACGCTCCCTGTGATTCTTCAGCGCCTCCTGAACACGCGTTTTAAAGTTACCATCTACTTCACGGCACAAACTGGCCGCCAACAAGCAAACCACGACAATCGAGAACTTCAACATCATCGTACGATTCAAGAGTGCTGTGTTTGGGAGGAAATTGGGAGAGATTTTTGGATCCCGTTTCCTTGTGCGTCATTTATATATCAAAAGTTAGGCCCCTCCCAGTTAAACGGCCTCACACTTTCCCTTAGGCGTAACATTTGGAAGAAAACTGAACTTGGTCAGTAGAAGATTTTTGTAGGAATCTACGAATGCCTTTATTGTTTGCGCAGGCTTTCAGGTGGTAAGCCCATTTCTAGATTCTTCAAGGGTCCTCCCAAAATGTAGTGTATAGTTGTCGTAACCACCAGCTTTAAAACATGATATGATGTTAACTTTACACGGACATTTCTTTTTCTCAATACTGTTAACGCACGTTATACTTGTCATAGTCTATTAATGAAATCTGATGTAATGAAAACTCAATGCCTTCTCAGAACTGTTAGTCTTGCTCATATCCGCTACTTTGAGATCTTGCTGTCAGATTTTTATTTGTTGTTTCAAACATTGTACACACATTTAACGTTACTTGCTAGAAATTGGAATCAATACAAAAACGCAGTGTTACTGTGCACACTGTGTTTCTGTATATCTACCATGTCAGTCACGTATACACCCACACCAACCTGTTCAGCATCATGTTAGGAAACGCTTGACCCGAAGCAAATCCTTTGATTGGTACGGTGCCAAATACGTGATTTGGATGGTTCGGTGGACCGGTGGACCGGCCTTGCGCAGCCGAGGGCTGAATTTGTCCTACAGCATAGCTTGTCCTCATTGCAGCTCATACCGTAACGCTTTATAACCAAATGAAAAAATAAAACAACTACAAACAACTACTGTCTAAAATACTTCTACTACTACGCTTGCTTAGTCTCCATTAGACTCCTTTTGCAGGCCGCTGGACCCTCTATGGCTGGCTACCATGCCATATCTGGCCAATTTAAATACACTTTTTATGCCGATTTCTACGATTTATTCAGCCTGCAAAAGGAGTCTGGTGAAGACTAACGCTTGCTATTATGAGGTTTGACTAGTTCTTTGAATGCTGTAGATAATGCATTGACCCGTGTTCTGTATAATGAGTGGGTTTTGCGATCTTGGTAGAAACGTAGTCTTTTGATGATCTACGAAATGATGAAAGTATGGAGAAACTGTGTTTGAAATGACCTGTTTCTGTCTGTCTCATAGTGGGGACACTGTCTAATAAAATGTATATATTTCATTTCCCACTGCATTTATTGGGCAATATTTAGTTAAATAATCTCTCGTGCATGGGTATTTCTTATAATCGTAAGATCAACATTTTACGATTTGTTGATATTTTCTCTTCATTTGGCTTAATTTTCATTTAAGTATTTCAGCAGTTAATCAGTTTAATTGTGATTGTTTTGTTATGTTTAAGGAGAAGGGCTTGTGCAAGCCTTTAAGGCTTCATCTTCTCCTGCACAGTGTTTTTAATTTAATTTACTTCATCTTGTATCTTTTTTTTTTTTGGGCGAAATAAAATGAAAGAAAAAATATAGCGATTCCTTTCTCTCTGTACTGGGTGCGAATTTAGTGTATATCGTACTTATGGCAGGTCAAACTCATTGTGATATAGGTATGCAATTCCCTGTATGCTTGGCAATGTACTAATTTGAATTTGCCCTTCGTCTCATTCACCGTAGTTCAGAGTACGTATATTGGCGGACGGACAAAAGTGTGACAATGTTGAAGGCTTTTTGCCGACCGTTAAACATTTACTAGTATGTGTTTCTAACCGTAGGTTCGGACAGTAGACTTCGGTGTGTACGAGGGAGAGGCAGACCTCCTGAAGCACGGTCTGAGCAGCATTGACTTCCAGCTGGAGATATTCGACAACCCGGAATTCTACAAGGAAAACTCCAACAGGTAGCTATGGATCTTTTCAAACGACGTTAGATGGAATTAAAGTTGTATTATTCAATTCTCGAGGAAGAAAAGTGATGATTTTAGCCACCCTACTCACACAAAGCCTCGCTTACCTGTTACTAGTATACATGCGTGTCGTTATGTTTACCTCCACAGAAGGCAAACATTGTTTTGCTCTGTTTCGTCTTCCGTTCCAAACACATAAGGTCAATGACCTGGACCAGACGGCTGTCACCATGGTAACTGGTGCTGTAGCAGGCACCCTGTGGTGATTGGAAACATGGTGTAGCAAATGAAGACAAAGTTCGAGGGGCTGTTCACCATATACTCGTATATGAATGTATTTGAGTAAACAATAAATAAAATAATAAAAAAAACAAAAATAATGTGTTTGAGTGAATAAGCAAAACAGTAGTTTGTTAGACTATAACATGTGAATGTAAACATTGTGCATCTGCTTGGCAAATGTTGCCTTTCTAGTGTTATAGATTCTTTTCTCCATTGCAGGATATTCGTGCCGCTAGGGGCGCCACTGTACCTCCAAGCCTCCTTCGCGCCAGACTTCAGCGACCCAGACTTAATGGTGTTCACGGAGAGCTGCTGGGCCACGCCCATGGGACTGGGAGAGGGGAACATTGGGAGATACACCATACTGGAGGACGGGTACGTGTGACGGATAATCTTTACTGTTCGCATCATTTACTGTATGGAAGGTATTTAGCACCAAAGATGAAACACAGCAAACATAGGTATCCGATCTTTGTTGTAGGAAAGTGTTCAGCACCAAGGACAGCACACATAGGTATCCGATCTTTGTTGTAGGGAAAGTGTTCAGCACCAAGGACAGCACACATAGGTATCCGATCTTTGTTGTAGGGAAAGTGTTCAGCACCAAGGACAGCACACATAGGTATAAAATCTTTGCTGTGCAGGTGTTCAGTACCAAGGACAGCACACATAGGTATAAGATATTTACTGTGAAGAAGGTGTTCAGTACCAAGGACAGCACACATAGATGTCAATTTCTCAAGCTTTACAATTATTCATACTTTATTTTCTATACATACAGTACTTTATATCAGAAGAAGGAAAACCATATATCCTTGTATGCATATGTGATGATAGTGTCTTGATGATGATAGAGTTTTTTTACATACGTTTACATACATCTAGGAGAATCCCTTATTCTTTGCAAACTTATAAATTTATATTCATATAACATTACACAGCTGTCCAATAGACGACACCGTGACCTTCCTGCCATCCTCTCCGGACCGATACCGGTTCAGTCTGGAGTCCTTCAAGTTTGTACCCAACGTCAAGGAGGTGAAGATTCACTGCAGCATCATGGCGTGTGATGCCCTGGACACAAGCTCAAGGTAGGTGTAGTAACCAGCAAATCATCGTAAAAGTGAGCTCAGGGGTTTAAAATCATCTTTATTATACAGTAATACAAGTAAGACAAATACAGTTTACAAGTTACGGTATGTATTGGACATTTTGGTATATTTCATTTAAACATTATTGCAATACCATATTAAAAGGTAAGGTAAAGGCACTCCCATAGTATGATTGAGGTCGTAGAGGCAGTGGGTTGTTAATCCACTGTGTCTAGGGCATGGTATTGGAAGGCAGAACCCGTCCCACTTCTTCTACAGCGTTTTACTTACCCAATTACGTCAGGTACTCATTTTACACCTGGCTAGAATTAGTAAAGGCGAATACATGACCTCTCAATCTCATGTCCACTAGCCTAACCCCTCAGCCATTCAACACTTCAAAATTACCAGACCTTAGAATGATAATTGCTAGATATGATTTAATACCCAGTAGGTCAACTTTCATTTACATTGATTTTTAAGATATTCTACCAAGAATTTAGCAACATTGGTCTACTTATCAGAAGTGTAAGAATTTACTTTACTTAATGTATATTTTTATTAATGGAAGATATTCAATATCATGACAAAAACAGCCACTGAGTTCCATACACCCCCTCCACTATTATCAGAAGTGTAGGAGTTTACTACTTATATTTTTATTCATTGAAGATATTCAATATCATAACAAAAACAGCCACTGAGTTCCACACACCCTCTCCATACAGATGCCACAGAGGTTGCCACGGTGATGCCACAGAAGACACGCCCATAGGAAAAGGAGACACGCCCACAGAAGAGTCCTACATAGATGCTGATGATGATGAAGCTGAGTCAGACTACACCGGAGGTAACTTCATGCACAGGAGGCTGATGTCTGTGGACACGTCTGTTGTGTTTGTGGAGGAAGTTGAGGACACTGATGTTGATGATGACAGTGAGAACCTACAGCTGTACGAAGCCAAGATGAGAGCAGCTATTGAAGTGTCCATGCCTCCACTAGAGGACAGTGTCCCTAAACCACAGGCACCAGGTCAGTCTTTGTATCTTGTAGAACCTAGCTTTATTTATCTTGTTATCAGCTGTATTGTAGCTGGGTGACCAATGATATTTTGCTTCTTTGTCCATACCTGTATGTTGTATACATGTACCTGCTAACTAAAGAAAGATATCATTGAGGTTTATGACAAAGGCTCTTTAGAACACTTAGTTTTATCTTAAGGTCATATTGAAGGGTGCCTGAGGACTTTTTGGAAATACTAATATAGAAAAAAAACTCTATCTGACATGGTAGACTTTTTGGTCTATTTTTATAATCTATAACATATTTTTTGCCAGGGCCACATTTTGACCGCGAAATTGAACGACAAAGTTCGCAATTTTTACGCGCCATCTACCATCCGGGCTCCCATATATGGAGTGCTCTTCCAAATATGGAGTGCTCTTCCAAATAATGTGCACACCCCCCGGCCCCACTGAAGCGAAAGCACGATTCCGCTGGGCCACTTGAAGCAAGGAATGTGAACTGTCACAGTGTGTGTGAGCTTCACTTTGCCATTGGGAAAGGAAAAGACAATTTTGGATTACGCCAACAACTTCCTATGAAAAAACATTTGACTGCCAAAAGGAACGTTTGAGTTTGTTTCGACTGCAAAATTTTTGTAAATATACTACCGGTACCGGTAGTAACTGTTATATGCAGTTGTAGGAAGAAGATACTAGTACTTGAACAAACATGACACAAGAACTGATTTCCAATCTGCAACGTTCTTTTTTTATTTAAAGAAATACAATACAAACAAACTTCAAGCTATCTTAGAGCGGAATGCATACACAATCTTACTGTAACGACGAACATATCTTTACGGTTTACAGCGGTGGCAGCTTAAAACGGATCGTCCATATAAATTTTGCAGATAAAACTCCGTACGTAAAAAAAATCATATACTGTAAGCACACGTCTACTAGGACAACATTCAACAGAAATTCACATAATCAACAAAATTATATTCGCTAGTAATCTCATACCACGTACGGGCAGGCTTTTCTCCAGGGCTATCTACTCCGGTAACTCCATGTTTTCAGTCTTTTTTTCCGAGTATGTTGCTGTTTCGAACCTGCTGTTTCCGTAAAATAACAAAGAACTTTGGGGGTAGGCATCAAAAACAAGTCCGTAAGTCCAGGAAACGCGGACGGTTTTTCTCCAGAAAGGTCTCAGAATAGTCCATGAAAGTCCACCTGCAAAACTACGTAGGGTATAGCCGTTTAAAAGATTGTCTAGCGGCCCAAATGTTGCCGCAAACCGCACAGCGTCCTTCGCGGCATCCACGTCGTCGTCCGCCATTTTGGTTTGGTCACGTGACTCCCCCACGCTTTAAGAATGGGGATGCTTGGGCTGTTCTTTTTACTGGACATATCCCCGGCCTGTTTTTCTAAATCGCGGATCAGAATGGTAAATACAGCGTGCTGAAGGGTCAATGACCCGCATTTTACCGGAAGTCATCGGGGCCTTTGGAATGCGGACCAGAACCTGGCGATTTCGGCTCTTTTTGGCTCCAAAATGGACATTTATGTAACCCATACAGCATATACAGCATTTTTAGATCAAAACTGTGGCAAAACTGCTAATGAAAAGGGACCAAAAATTGTTTTATTTTAAACATAAGCTTCTAAACTAAAAACGTACGTCAGGCCGACACGCTGCGCCGCTTTATGTGCTGGGGAGGGCCGCTGGCGTATGGCACTGTTAAAATTTACGAAAAAAATTCATTAAAAATCAACATTTAAAGATAGAAAAAAATCCTGACGTACGTTTTTTGCTATCACTATAGTGCGCCTCTCTACAAAATATGGTCAATGAAAACCAAAGCACTGGCCAGGAAAATTGATTTTTCTAAAAAGGGGGCGTGGCTCATAACTCCAGATTACGTCATCGTGACGTCATAAAAATTTGCATAAATTATTGTCTTGCAATAAGGTACTTATATGAAAAATTTCAATGACCAAAAGTAATTCTAACTAGTATTTTTAAGATGTCCCCAAAGTCCTCAGGCACCATTATACACTACCTTAAAGTGACCCTTTTGCCTGATTTACTGAAGAAAAATTGCTTCTGAAAACATGTTACATGTTCTTGGAGACTCCCAGTTGTCAATAAAAAAAGGCTAGGGTCAGCCGGTTTTTGCTTGGTCGGTTGAGAAAAACAATTTTTTTTCCTTAGTCCTAATATCACCATATACATCCAGCAGAAACAATGGTTCTCGGAATGTGACACTTATATCTGTTTTTACTTCATCCACAGATGTTCCAAGCCAAAGTTCTGAGTCTACCCCTGCTGCTACACCACAGGACTCTGGTGTGTCTCTTCTCACCACACTGTTAGCAGTAGTACTGGCCGTGGGAGCATATGCACTTCTTGTTCCCAGGGTAACCAGACACACAGGGAGTCCCAGGGTCAGCAGGAAGCTGACCTCCCATGACCTGGGAGGTCAGAGGTCAAGGGAGGACGAGGGTTATGGGTCACCTGGAGGGTACTTCTCAGATTCTGATGATGATTAACAATCTGATGTAAGATTAGATGGTTACAGTAGTGTGGGTTTCTTTGGTGAACCTAGAAATTAGTAGAGTGCTTTGAAATTCTCAGGTATTTTTGGTGTGTTCGTAATGAGTTGGTGGGTAAGGCTTTTGAAGCTATGACAATCATTGTTCTAAATCTAAGTCCAGAAACATACCAAATAGCCAGATCAAAGCAGTATTGATCTTCAGCCAGTGTCAAAACCAATCATTACCTCATAATAAAATTATGATAAAACATCTCCAAGAAGGTCTTTTGGCCAATTTGCAAGTTGTGTCCATTGGGTGATGGTATTGGATACTGTCTGGCAAATGGATACTGTCTGGCCAATTTGATTCTTTCTTTGCAGCCACCAAAACATCTGCTTGGAGATTAGGTAAAACAGTGTCATCTAAATTAAGAAACAGAGACTAGAAATCTGTTGTCACAACAGCCTTTATTTCCAATTCAAGTAGAAGGTGTATGGACTAGAGTAGACCCATACCATGTTCACCTTGTTAATAAGATCATACTTTTTAAAGTTAAAACTTTTAATCCAACACAAAGAAATCTCTCACCTAGAGCTTTTGACCAGTCACTCTGGTCTTCCGCAGAAGACTGACCCAGTGAAGCTTGTCATGTGGCTTCTTTGAAGTGTGACGTCAACACTAGGTCAGTCTACTTAGGAAGACCAGAGTGACTGGTCGAGAGCTCTAGGTGAGAGATTTCTTTGTGTTGGACAAAAAGTTTTAACTTTAAACATGTAACTACCAACACAGATGAACTTTCATGAGAAGATCATGCTTTCTTCTATTATGTACAAAATGGGACTTTTAGCTCATGGAAATACTACATTATGCAATTTATGCTGATAGAACAGTGCAGCAGTTAAGTTTCTATTGTTTATCATTATCAGTTGTTAAGGTGTTGCCGAGATTCAGAGTACAAAAAGTGTGAATTTGTTTGACTTCAATATCAATATATTTTCATTATCACACCATTAAAGTATGCAACATGGCAAAGTTGTTTTCCACACAATTCTTTTGTTTGCGATTCTTACTACTTCTTACAGTTAGGCTACACCAATTTAATTTCTTGGTTAACAGATTTTTCTAGAAAAATAATGGAGCAGGCGGGTGAAAAAAAATAAAAACAGGTCTAGGCATCCTATTATGGCCCAAAATGGTACGATAGGAGCCATGAAGTCAACACACCAGGCTGGTTCAAAGTTTAAACAATGAATTTTGAACTTTTAATGATACCATTACATTGAAAGATGGAATAACTGTAACAACTAGGATGTAAAGGACTGTTTTCAACTGTTCAGGGCAAAATATGTCATTTGAGCATTTTGCAGTTGATTCTGACTTTAATTTTAATTGCAAATCAGAAAAAAATAAAGCGGGCGAATCCGTTAACCAAGAAATTAAATTGGTGTGGCCTTATCAACAATAAAACTTCACACTCTTTATAAAAGGAGTAGTTAGTACTAGCTTATAGCCAGTTTATTCCTGAGTTTGAGTGAGTCCAGCCAGCTCACTGCCTTCAGACTGACTTTCCCTGCCTTGGCAGTGGCTCGGAGATCAGCTGAGTTTCCAGAGTTCAACAAACCTGCAACAGTCAACATGATAATCATTAAGTCAAACCTCCACAAAGACAGTAAACTACCATCTAGTGTACCATCTAAGGATGCTTTCTAAATCCTATTGCTCTGAGACAAAAAGGGCTTGAAATACTTTTTTCTGCAACCAGTGCAGGTAACATTGAAAATTACCTGCACCAGACAAATTTTACCTTCATCACTCAGACTTTGAGTACTATGGATCATAGTAAAAATTGTTCAGAAGCCATTGCCATTGTTTCTTTTACACTCTGTGGTAGTTACTAGCTAATGCATCAAATAAAATCCACATAAACCTACATGTATATATAAGCCCTAGCCTATGTAACCCAAGCTCCGGGGGGCTCCCTACATAGTCGGGGGCTGGCTGGATGTTGGGCGGCCGGCAAAAGCGATTTAATCAGGCTATATAAGCCCAGTACATGGACCACTACAGGTTAGGTGCAGGTAGAAATCAGAAATACCTGCAGAGTTCCAATTTTACCTGCACTAACCTGCATATACCCAGTACATGGACCAGTGCAGGTTAGATGCAGGTAGACATCAGAAATACCTGCACAGCTCCAATTTTACCTGCACTAACCTGCATATACCCAGTACATGGACCAGTGCAGGTTAGGGGCAGGTAGACATCAGAAATACCTGCACAGCTCCAATTTTACCTGCACTAAAGGCACCCAGTATTTTGAGCCCTGATGAACAAATAGACAAAGAAGACACAGGTACATACCTTTGAGTGTCTTACACTGCAGTTCTTCATCCCAAGAATCCTCAATGTTGTCTACTCTCAACTCTGGGTCAATCTCTAACTGTTTGCCTGTGAGCTCCAGTCTGGTGGCCAGCTCATGGGGCACACTGATACATATATCTCCTGGAATAAAAACATCTTCATCACTTCGACTTGACTTGGTTCTATTTGTTAAGACAGTTCATGATATTCACTCTGCAATTATGTTTGTTGTCATGTTCTAATAGCAGGAAGGTCAATACACAACTGCTACTCACCTACCGAATATCATTAAGATCCATTCACAGCTTCTGGAGTTATGATGAACACATACAATCAACAAATACATAAAAAGCCTGCTGCAGTATTGCTGGAAAAATCCAGTTTGCCATTTTTGAACTTGACCTTTATTTCCACAACAGGTACCCACATATCAAATATCAAAAGATCCAATCACAGTTACTTGAGTTATAATGTTGACCTGCATACATAGCACACCAGAGGTGCTCCAGCAAACTCAAACAAAAAACAACAAGAATCCATAGGCGACAATTCTCCGTGAAGTATTATATATTGCAACAAAAAGAAGTAGCCATTGGCGACAATTCTCTGTGAAGTGTGATAAATCGAACAAAGAAAAATTGTTTAAACGCGCGTCGGCTCAGTCATCTTAAGACGCAACAACCAATCAGAGATGCGAAATGCCGACACGTGACGCGGGATTTGCATACAGTCTAAACAACGGGGAAGGGCGCGCGATGCCCGAAATATTTTTGCGTCAATATTCAGCGCCGTGATTCAAGAGATTAATACCCGGAAACAATTTCTTTTCTTGTTTTGTTTTGAACACATAAACATGCATTTACGCTAATCTAGTATGATTCAGGGTTACTTTTTTTTAACCTGCCATGGCCAGATTATCTAAAGATGTGTGTATTGTGTGTACAATCTACAGAAAGAGAAATGTACATCAGGTCCGATCATCCGATTTTCACGTTTCGGTTTTTTGGACTCGATTCATGAACGTATTTTGGTTTGGCTCCTGGAATGTGCGAAAAAAATGACTCCCGGGACTGTCCACAGGGAACACTCGCACATTCGCGGTGTATCAGGACAGCGCGACTGGTCGGCATTAGCGCAGTCCCTGCAATTAGTAACAGTTGCACATCAATCCGGCCGAAAGCATGATTGTGTAACACAGGCTACTTCTTCATATACCGGCTCATACTCCAAGACGCCTTTACAACTAGCAAATCATAAAATTACCCGGTCTACTAGTATGTGCGGTTTACCAGCCCCAGACCACATCCGACCACGAGGCAGAACACATTGATGGGTTGCTCAAAAATATTGTCCATGTTTACAAAGAGCTGCTCCACTAACACTAAGCGGCCAGCATGCTCGTTGCTAGGACGACCGGCCAGTTGCTACGTGACTAATTACACGCCGCCACTAGGTCGCCACAGCCGACCAGTTCGAAATCGATAGGATTACGTCATCGGTATTTACATTTCGTAATGCTGACCACTGACCACCCCACATTTCTGTCCCCATCAGCCTGACCGCGACTTACAACTACTGCGGTCACATAAACGGACGAAAACATTTCAAAGAAATGGGGATATTTCGAAAATAAGCATTTACTCCAATATCAAAACAGCTACGGTAAAAATAAAAAGACGTGCATCATCCCGGACATAATGCCACACCACATGCGAAATTACACAGAAATGCGACGTACGGATGAATGCGTTTTGGCTGCGAACATCTTCCAAAAAACTTGCCATCTCTTAACCATGGGCAAAAACATCTGGAACCACTTATCAAAACCACCCCGTATCTGCATGAAGTTCCACCCCCCCCACTGCTATTCCAAACAACGCGTTTTTCTGGACCATTCCAATTCGCCTCGTAATTGTAGGGGTGCGTCTGCAATATTACATTGACCGCGAAAGCAGCAACGGCAAAAATACACATTCGTGCATCAACACGGGCATGCCCGCAGACGGCGTATAAAATTGCGTGCCGATTACACAAAGAGAACCCAGTGTTTTGACTGTGAACATGAAAAATCAGCCGATCACAACACTCCGTCCGGAGGTCCTGACCTCCTTCACGGAGTAATTAAAGTTTTAACACTAGAGAAGTAACATTAGCAAAGCAAATGCATAATGTTTACCTTCGGACATGGTCTGCTCTGTTAATTCTTACTCAAACACATTCACATACATGTACTACTAGTATATGGTAACAATGCCAGAGCAGACCATGAAAATGCAACATTATGTAACCCAACACCAGTCACCATGGTGACAGATGTCAACAAATCATGTCATTGGTCAGGTCAGAGGTCACTGTTTGGAGAAGAAGAAGAAGAAGAGGAAGAAACTGAGCAAAAACAATATGTTTCCTTCGGTAAACATAATGAAGTCAGTGACAAAGGATCTACCTCTTGCTATATGTATTAATGTTGCTCATGGCTACTGCAACAAATATTAAACACTAAGTTGCCCACCTTCCTCAGAGGTGACATCCACTAGTTGATGCCTGCTGACATACAGGGTAACACTGCCAGTCTGTGTGGTGGCTGACAGGTCTCCATCTACTGTGTCTGTAACATGGGAGGAGTACAGCTGATTAAGGGTACGACAAGGCCTGCAACACCATAGCATTATTCTATCAATTAGAAACTGCTGAAGAGCTATGTTCCCTGGAGCATGTGGTGCTGAGTGAGTGAGTGAGTGAGTGAGTGAGTGAGTGAGTGAGTGAGTGAGTGAGTGAGTGAGTGAGTGAGTGAGTGAGTGAGTGAGTGAGTGAGTGAGTGAGTGAGTGAGTGAGTGAGTGAGTGAGTGAGAGAGAGTGAAGAGCTTTACTGCAGCCTGACTAAATTCAGGTCAAAACTTTGTTCCAACACAATAGGAAATGTTCTCACCTAGAGCTTTCAACCAGTCACTTTCAAAGTGAGGCTTGTCATGTGGCTTGTCTCAGAAGTCAACACTGGGTCAAATGTATCTGGTACATGTAAGTGATGTCACCCTAGACACGATTGAGTGAAGCCACATGACAAGTCTCACTGGGTCAGTCTACTAAGGAAGACCACAGTGACTGGTCAAAAGCTCTAGATAACAACATTTACCTTTTGTGTTGGAACAAATGTTTCACCTGGAAACATGTAACTACCAACACAGATGAGCTTTCATGACAAGCTAGCCTTACTGTAATAAGGCCTTGATATAGAATCCGTTGAAAGATGACTTACCTATTGTGATGTTTCCTTCTGTAGTTTCTACAGCACTGGTACCTATGGGGGAATTTGGTGTAATTAGTCAGATAAATGACATTACACTTAGTAACTGCAACCTAAACAACAAATCAAGACTTCTAATACATTGGTGAAAATTACTCATCCAGGGATAGTAATAATACTAATGACAATAATGATAATGATGATGATGATAATAATAATAATAACAATAACAACAACAATAATAATAACAATAATAATTATTATTATTAATACTGGTTAGCACTAATAATAATAATGATAACAACAACAACAATGACAACAACAACAACAACAACAACAACAATAGTAATAATAATAATAATAATGGTTAGCACTAACAGTAAGAAAGTAGTTTAGTCTTCTCAAACTGGATAGATTTTTAATCAGTAGACGTTTCGGGTGTACTTGTACTGATGAAGGGTGTCGGATGTACACCCGAAACGTCTACTGATTAAAAATCTATCCAGTTGGAGAAGACTAAACTACTTTCTTACAAGACTTCTAATGATTGTGATTAAGCTGTTATTACCACTTACCATGCATACTCCCAATACAGATGTCCCCTGAATCTGACGTTAAAGTTGACAGTTCTGCATAGATGTCTTTTATATCTATTGTACCTGAGGGTGGGAGGCATAAAACCAGTTCAGTGCCTCAAAACAGTTATATGAAATCAGTTAAATACCTGAGAAGATTGACAAGCAAACTATATCAAGTGTGTAGATGAAGGTTAGACATCCAGGTAATAAGATGTGCCAAAAACAGTTACTCAAGCAACTGGGCATGATTTTGGAAACGGTCAGGTGGCATCCAAAACCTTTCATCAGTGGCACTGAAGAGGTCCTCAAACCTGCAGGTTTTTAACAAAGACTATTGATTGTTGAACCACTGAACTGTTTTTTTTAGCATATATCAAGTACACTTGAATGATCAAAAGTACAATTTGCACGAGGAAAAGGCTAAATATTAGTATATCCTTCAAGTTGTCAAGAAACATCAACACACTCACCATCTTGTGTTGCAACACTCATTGCCTGACCTTGGAGCTTGCCTAGTTTCACACTCTAAAACAGAAAGTAAAGATGATATGATGAAAACTAGGAACACGTGTGTGTGAAATTGGTACGTGTATACAATGTAAAACTGCATAATATCGCAGAGTGGAACTCGCTGTCACCAAGCATAGTAGGGGCATTGTCATTAAAAAGATTTTAACAATGTCTAGAGTTAGATGTTCAAGGGTTAGGTGTAACAAGTCACCAAGTAGAGTAGGGGCATTGTCATTAGATAGATTTTAACAATGTCTAGAGTTAGATGTTCAAGGGTTAGGTGTAACAAGTCACCAAGTACAGTAGGGGCATTGTCATTAGATAGATTTTAACAATGTCTAGAGTTAGATGTTCAAGGGTTAGGTGTAACAAGTCACCAAGTACAGTAGGGGCATTGTCATTAGATAGCTCTTAGCAATGTCTAGAGTTAGATGTTCAATAGGTGTAACAAGTCGATCGGTGTACTGTAGCCAGCTGCTGCCGCGCCGCGTGCCTGCCAAGCTGGTGTGTTACGCTGAAGGGTGGTTATACTGGCTATACCGATACAGATACAGAAGAAACACCGATTTCTGAACCAGAAAATAACCATTCAAGCATCTGATTGGGTGCTACATAGCCACAAATTCCTGTCTATCAGAAAGATTCGTCGATGAAGGTTAGACATCCAGGTAATACGATACGCCAAAAAGCAGTTACTCAAGCAACTGGATATGACTTTGGAAACGGTCAGCCGTTTCAGCTAGTATCCACTGTCCACTAGTCACTGACGAAAGCTAGTGGATACTAGCTGAAACGTCTGACCGTTTCCAAAATCATATCCAGTTGCTCGAGTAACTGCTTTTTGGCGTATCAGAACGCCAATCAGAAAGGTATACCAGAAAGATTGTGTGATGTTCCTTATGATTAGTGTTCCCCATACACAATGTATATATTTATACACTAATACATAATAAATGAAAGTGCTCACAAGACCATGACAGATCTCACCCCTTCTGAGTTAGTTGAGACGTCTACATTCCCCAGTACGGTTCCCTGTCCATACACACTCCCTCCTCCTGTGTCTACCTGTGTGCTCATACCCTGGAGATGTGAAAAAAGAAAAGAACTTCAGCAGTCAAACATATACACTTGAGAAAAAACAGCAGTAAGCAAGCCATCGATATCATGGACATAAGAAATACATTTTATTTGATTTTCATTTTCAATAATGCACAGAGCTCAGGAGCAACTATGGAAAATTCCTGTTAAGGCTTAGGGAAAAAATCTTGTGTTTCCTGTTTCAGTCCTGAAAAAGTTAGTGTCGGTAGGTACATGTAGGAATTATCTTTTTTTTCTTTCTTTTTTATATTGCACTTTCAAAATCTCCAGTGATCTGACTAATGTGATCCAACTTATACAATACAGTTTAACAAACTGAAACTTGCATGAGGACACTTTTTCCAACATTGACATTGAAAATTGAAGCATTACATCACTCAGGTGTCAGATCATGGAGATAGAAAAGATCTGCTCAAAAATTTATGTCCCATGCAGAGGTCAACACACAAAAAAGGCTAGGGTCAGCAGTTTCTTCTAGGGTCGGTCGGAAAACTGGAAACACAACATTTTTTTCCCAGGCCTAATGTAAGTGGATGGAAACCACTATTTATATAAAGAATACCAAAAGAGAAGATTTAGCATACTACATGTAGTTCATTCTACTTAAAAAATTATATTTTACATTGATCATGTCAAAATAATAGAATACTGCACCACCATTGCTGCAGGTGCAACTATTTATGACCTCTATCTACAAATGTCAGTATAAACAAGTAAAATTTGAGATTTTATACCTCCGGGCTTTTTATTGTATATTTTTATATAGGGTTTTAAACAAAGAATTTATCGAGACCGGACACCCCTCTGTGTGAGGGGTTATATACGTGGACCAGACCGAGAATAGCTTAAACACGCCAAAGGTCAACGGTCGCGACCACTTTCACGCTCAAAGGGGTGTTTTGGGGCCACCAAAAGGCACCATTTTCACGTCCGAAAACACATATACAATAAAAACAAAAGAACGTGCATCATCTGCAGCCCAATAGCAAAACATATACCGAGTCTCAAGAGAATCCGTCCACCCAAACTCGAGAAACAGCTGCGAACATGAAAATCTAAATCTCTCACAAAACCCTTCCGCGGAAGGATGTCTCCTCCCCCGGAGGTAATAAGGAGACAGACATATTTGTACCTTGATACTCTTTAGATGACAGTCTCCCTCTTCTGTCTTCACAACACATGTGGGACATTCCATGTTCTCTACTCTGGCCTCTGCTGCACCTGACACCTGAACAGCTACATCTGAACAGCAACAGCACAGGTCAACTTTAAAGATGCATTATGTAACATTTAATAGGACGATACAAAAAGTAAATTTCCTGGTCATTTATTTACAAAATAAGTTGAATCAACCCTACTCCATTGGAAAAATAAGTGCCATTTAGGAATTGAATGTACCAAAATATGACACTTTACGAGTGTGTTCAAAAGCTGGTGTAACAATGTACATGTAAGAATGACTTTCGCCGGTTCTAACGCCTCCCTTGGGCGGGGCCGCGGCCACCTGTTCGAACACGTGCCAGCGCACGTGCCAACGTCGTGTTCGAACAGGTGATCTATACCGGTACCGTTCGAGGGAAGGGGCTCTAGAACCGGCCGGTTAGTACTTGAATAAAGGAGTTGAGATAAAGCCATTGACGAGTTCAGACGTGCGTCCCTTTTCGTCTTGTTACACTGGAAACAGCTGTCAGTCATGTTTGTTTACATTCAGGTATTTTGTGGTGGTACCACAAACTGAGTGCGCTTCGTGTGGGTTGTTTTACCACCAACAATAAATGTAAAAAATGTGAGAGAATTGCACAAATATGTTCAAGTAAATTACAATCACATGAAGGTTTCCTCAATTAATGTTAGAATATTTCAATTTTGGGTGCAAAAGTGTTACCTATATAAGTTTACCCTTAACGCCACACCAATTTAATTTGTTGGTTCTCGGATTCGCCTCTTCATTTTTTTCTGATTTGCAAAAAAAAAAAAAAGGGAAAAAAAATTTTGGTTCAAAATCAACTAAAATATGCTCATATTTTGCCCCCAACAGTTGAGGAAAGTCCTTCTCTTCCTACTTGTTATAGTTTTTCCATCTATCAATGCAGTGGTTTGATTAAAAGTTCAAAATTGATCGTAGAAATATTAACCCAGCCTTTTGTGTTGACTTCATGGCTCCTGTCATAGCATTTGGGGCTGTAATAGCCCAGACCTGTTATTATTTTTTTCGAGTTGTCGCTTCATATTTTTTCTGAAAAAATCCCAGATCCAACAAATTAAATTGGTGTGGCCTTACCAATATAACCTGTCATAATGCAAAAAAAGTAGGAATATATCATAATGAAAGATTTTTGATATACAAACGTTTTAAATCTATGACAGAACTCACCATAATTCATAGGTGTCATGATATGACATAAAGGTTTTCCTTCTACTTCTGCCGAGCTTGTACTAGTAACTTCCACTGATTTCTCATCATCCTTCACAACCACATCTACTCTGTGTTCATCAGATTCAGAATTCACGTCAACTACAAACTTATCTGCGTTCGGATGTTCCAGTGGGTCTAAGGGCGAAACGTGAACACTGAGCGGTAGTCTGACTTTCAGATGATACACGGCGAACGGTTGGACCCCGTACGTTTGTGAAGACATGCCGGCTCGATGTAACGTTACATGTGGGAGGGGATCGCGATCTAAACATCTCGCCAGAAAAACGTTTTTCGCTTTGTCGTGAAGGGAGAACGCTCGTCTGCAGAAGACAGGGATCCTTAGGAAGGTCCGAAGCACCATGTTGAATTGACACCGACGATGAGATTACGCAAACGAGGATTTTGTAGACGTTTTTTTTTCTATCGGAACGCACCGAAAGTCAAATCTCTTACCTCCCGGAAGTAGTGCCTATGCACCTACCGTATGACCTTTGTAACGTGGTGCCAAGTAAAAATAGTACCATCATAAAGATAACACTGTGAACTTATTTGGACGACGATCTGACACTTTTATTGATGCAAGTTTAAAAAGTTATCCAAATAGCTATTTTAGTCTTTGCTATTTTGGGGTATGGAATTGATAGATTAAGCGCCGTGTTTACATACTTCACCGACGAGGTTATCTTGTATTTCTCCGCCAAATGATGGACGCATACACTGTTTTTAGGGGTGGAAATATTAGTCATATAACGTTAATTGTTACGTGTACAGTAGGCAACAATGGGAAGTAAAGTGAACATCATCACACTTGATATTTTATATCAAAAGTACTTAATGTTAGTTACATTTGACTGCAACATAATATCTGTCATTCTGAGATCATAATTCCCTCCATAATAGTGGGATGTCTCTTCAGATTTCCGGCAAAAGTTTACTAGAGGGGGTGTGACCCGTCGAGGACACAGGTAACAGGTGTACGAAAAGATAAGGTTAACGGTTGATTCTTACTGCCGCGATTTTGTTTTCTTTGTCTTACTTATCAACGACACAAACATTTTAGAGTGTCTCTGATGATGCATGTTGCTTCTGTTCCAAACAGATGGATCCCCCCTCCGCTTCATGATGACTCCTAAGAAGTTAGAGGTCAAGGTCTCTTGTAAATCCTGGCGAAACTGTGCTATTTTTGAAGTCGCATAAATGTGTGAAGAGGTTAAAGGGTTGTGTAACCAGTGAGTGCCTTTGGTCAGTCAGGTATCTTCAAGGTAAGATGTGAATTTTTTAAATCCATTGTCAGTTTCAGGTAGACGTGCATGATAATATTTTGAAAGACGGGCTAACCTGTCAATATGATTTGTTTCTACACTTCTTTTTTGCACCTTTTCTACTCATAGTAATAATATCTAATAATAATAATTATTCCTTTTTTTCACTATTGCCAGGATTGTCATTTTTCTGATGTACATTAATACAGAACGTTATTCTACCTGGTAAGGACTCTTCCTGGTAAGGACAATGACTAACGTAGTAACTTAGTACTTTAAACATTATAGCAATACATGTAGTTGGTGCCCATGATGGTACTAGTATGAGGGGAAATTTCACACTCGAGTCACAGATCTGTCCAATACAGCTATTTGATGTATTAATTTGCATGGACTACATGAAATCAGTATTGTTATCTTGTTGCTTTAATTGCACTTTTTAGGCCACACCCACCAATTTAATTTCTTGGTTAACGGATTCGCCCGCTTCATTTTTTTCTGATTTGCAAAAAAAAAAAAAAAAAA